CATTAATAATTAAAGAAGGTCTAATTCTTTTTTTTTTTAATTTCCTCTCTGAAAGAATAAATTTTCTTTAAAATTTTAAAATTCTTTTTATTTCTATCTAAGTCTACTTATTTTAGCCTAAGCCTATTTTCGTTAGTCTAAGCCCATCTACTTTAAAACCAAGCCTTTTGATTTTAGTCCAAGTCCATTACCAAATTTATTTTATTTAAGTCTAAGCCCATTAACATTAATCCAAGCCCAAGTCTATTTGTTTTAATCTAAGTCCACTTTATTTTTAAATCCAAGCTCATCTCATTTTAACTCAAGTCCAAGCCCATTAATATTAATCCAAGCCCAAGTCCATTTGTTTTAATCTAAGTCTACTTTATTTTTAAATCCAAGCTCATTTATTTGAATCCAAGCCCAAGTTCATTTGTTTTAATCTAAGTTCACTTTATTTTTTAAATCTAAGCACATCTTATTTTAACTCAAGTCCACGCCCATTACCATTAATCCAAGCCCATTTATTTTAGGTTAAAAATTTTTCAGCAATGGTACACCTAAATAACTTATACCAAATCAGCCATAACTCCTTAAATATATATCTAACACTCACGAAATTTTAAGGAAAAATATTAAAAATATAGATCAACAACTTTCATTCTTTAAGTTTCCTCTAAGAATCATTCTAAAATCCTTAAATAAATCACACACGTTTCGAAACTAAATAATCTTTTCCGAGTAGTTGGTCCATTCAACGATCCGTACCAAATTAGTCATAAATCCTTACATACGGACCTAAAAATCACGAAATTACATTTAGTAGACACATAGATGAATAACTTTTCTTCTTTGATGTCCGCCCAAAACCCACTCTATGATCCCGAAATAAATCACACAACGTTTGGAATGAAATATTTTTTCGGTAGGTGGTCCATTCGGACGATCCATACCAAGTCAGTCATAATTCCATATATATATTTCTAAAAATCATGAAATGTTAAAGAGACATAGTAGACACATATATCAACTTTCATTCTTTGTATGTTTCCTAAAAATACTCTAAGATCCCGAAATAAATCACACCAACTTCGAGTTTTTTCACCCCTAAAATCCAAAAATCTTCTCTTAAAGCACATTTCTTATCACATATGTATAACCATCCATCATCAAACATCAAGTGTTTAAATTCATCACAAAATACCATAAACACATTTTACATGAATTAACAACTTATAAAATAAACATGGAAGGCATAAACAAAGCAAGAAAAAAAAATGAAACCTACTTACATTGGATTAACTTTCCTAAAATCTCTTTGGCTTCCTTTTAGTTTCTCTTTCTTTTTCCCTTCTTTTCCCCTTTTCTTCCTTCCCTTTTTTTTTCTCTTTCTCCCCTCTCTTTCACTCTTTCTTTCTTTGCTTTAAGGAAGCTACGGGATGTACCAAAAAATGCATCTTTATTCCATTTTTTTACTTAAATATCTCATCTAATCTCATCAATTTAATGCTCATTACAAGTGTTAAGAGCTTGTGGTGAAATGCAAGGTAAATATGGCTAAAATTAATGAAAGGATGAGTTTAAATTTCAAGGAGGAAAAGGTGATGGTTAATGGAAATTTGTAGAAAGTAGGGGCCAAAATGTGATTAAATGAGGAAAATTAAATTAACCACATTTTTAGAATTCCTCTCAAAATTTCGACAATTAGCACTTTCTTTTTCTTTTTTTTCTAATTTATACTTATTACATATAAAAGAAATTTTTCAACTAATTTACCCAACGTTCTTTTTTTTTTTTTTGTAAATATTGACGTACATCAATTACTCTCAACAAATACGTACATATCACATATTCCGAGTACATATGTTTACTCGGTTATAGATTTTCATGTACATAATCGATATACTATATATATATGTACGAATATAAATATCTCGATACGTATACTTATACGATTACAGATTTTACGAGGGTTACATATAGCCCTCACAATGTAACCAACCAACAATTTGGAATAAAATGAACAAACAAAGAACTGTAACACGGAGATGTAATGAGTTCAATATAGCCTAGTAACTACTACCCATTGTTTAAGTCTGGATCCCTGTCTTCCAAATACGGTCCATCTTCCTTTAGCCTTGACCCTCTCTTTTCTTTTCTTTTATAGACCAATTTGACAGCAAGCCTAACATTACCTCCCTCGGAAAAACCACCTTGTCCTCGAGGTGGAAATGTGGGAATTTTCCTGCAATGAAGGGCATCGGCTTCAAGGGATTCAAAATCAAATAGATGCTTCTATTTGATCGGAATCTCCCTTTCTTCTTTCCTTTCCTTGACATCTATCACTCGTTTCTAGTTCTACCGACCACTTCATTTGTTCATTCGGGGTTTGTGGCAAAGGTCGGCTAAGTGTGGTGTCCCCAATCGTTTTTTTTAATAGCGACACATGAAAAATGGGATAGATATAGGTTCTAGATGGTAGCTTGAGTTTGTAAGCCACTAGCCCTATTCACCGTAATACTTTGTAAGGCCTAAAAAATCGAGGAGCCAACTTTCTATTCACCATATGTGCCATCGATTTCTATATATAAGGGTGCAATTTCATATAGCAAGGTCGGCTAACGTAAACTCCATATCACAAGATGTTGTTCAACCATCTTCTTGATTCGGTTTTAAGTAATCAGCAACTAGTCGCATAACTCTATTAGTGTTTTATCCCACTATCTTAACAATTCATCCAATTCAAAGTTAGATGTTGAAGATGATGAATTGTACCTCACTAATGAGGAAGGCTCTTTGTCGTAGATAGCTTTAAAGGGAGAACACTTAAGAGATGAGTGGTATGTCATATTGTACCAATATTCAGCCCATATAACCCATCTAGACCATTCCTTAGGTCGGTTTTTCATAAAATATCACAAGTAAGCTTCTATTACATCGGTTTACCACCTCACTTTGCCCATAACTCTATTCAATTGAGTTTGTTGTAATGAAGCGACTCTTATAAAAAATAACTCATGAAAATCTTATCACAATCCGAGACTATAGAGCATCAAAACTTATGGATAAAATCCATTGTAACATCTTCCCAAATCGCATACGGTAATGGCAAGGGTCGTAGCAAACTCACGGGAGATAAGGTGTTATACTTGCTCTATTGGTATACTAGATACGCACTTACAAAATCCTTGACATCCGATTGTATCCCCCAACACAACTCCCCCGCCAACCTTTTATATGTCTTCAAAAACCTCCAATGTCGCCTCATGGGGCTGGAATGGAATTCCTTTAGCAACTTTACCTAAAGTGAAAATTTTGAGCAATAACCACTCAATCTTGGTACCGTAACTATCCCTATACCAAACTTCGACTCGACTTAACCATTGGATCGGTTTCAAGGCTTAAATAATTAGTGACAACTTAGGATCTTGTCTTACTCCTTTCTCAATTTTTTTCCAATCCAATAACACAATAATTGAGAGGGTTAAAATTTTAGATGCAATAAGGAGTCTTGATAGTATATCGCCTACTTAGTTATCACTACTTGGGCAATACTCGTATCTCACACTCGAAATCCCATCAATTTGATCAACCATTTCGATATTCTAGTACAATCACCTGTTGCTTTAGTAGAAACCTTGAGGTCTGTTTTGATCTATCCGGATAACAAAATGCCTTCTTAATAAGTAGTGCCTCCATTTCCGCATAGCAAACACAATCACCATCAACTCCCTTTTGTAAACCGATTTCAATCTAGCTCTTCCAATTAAAGCTTAACTAAAAAAAGCAATAGGTTGTCCCCTTTGAGTTATCACAGCTCCCGGACCCATACCCGAGGCATCTATCTTTACCATAAATGACTTCTTAAAATCTAGAAGTGCCAAAACGAGAACAACCTTCATAGTCCGTTTAAGACATTCATCGTTCAAACAGTTTCCTCTATCCATATAAAACTTTCTTTTTTGAGCAACTAAGTCAATTGTGTCTTTATCTTTCCATATTTCTTAACAAAGCGCTGTTATTTTCTAGTAAATCCCTAAAATCCCCTCAACTCTTTTGAATTTTTGGGTCTTGGCCATTCCTTTATAGCTTTTACTTTCTCCGAGTCAGCTATCACCCCTTCAACTAAAATTATGTGACCTAAATACTCTAAACTGGATTGCCCAAAACAACACTTCTTATAGTTAACAACCGACTGCCGATCACGAGTATGGTTAGAATTTCATGCAAGTGCCTTTTATGATCCTCCATGGATGGGTTATAGACCGGAATGTCATTGAAGAACACCAACACAAATCTCCTCATTTGTTCTTGAAGACATCATTCATTAAAGCTTGAAAGGTTGTTAGGGCATTAGTGAGATTGAAAGGCATTACTAGGAACTCGTAATGCCCTTCATGTGTGCGAAGAGCTATCTTGGGGACGTCTTACGATCGTACTCGAATTTGATGGGTAACCCGACTTTAAATCCAACTTAGAGAAGACCCTAGCTCCTTATAATTCATCTAGAAACTCGTCTATATTAGGTATGGGAAAACGATCCGAAATGATCACCTTGTTCAAAATTCTATAGTCCACATAAAATCTCCAACTCTTATCCTTTTTCTTTACTAGTAATATCGGACTAAAAAATAGATCGTTACTTGGCCGAACCATCCTTGCAATCAACATCTTAGCTACCGATCTTTTAATTTCATTCTTTTGAATGTGAGGGTACCAACGAGGTCGTACTTTTATTGGTTTTGCCTCTTCTTTTAACACGATAGCATGGTTTTGAGCACGCTCGGTGGTAATCCGTAAATGTATTGAACACCTATTTAAATTCTTGAAAGACATCTCTCATTTCGATGCTACCTCCCCTAACCCTTTCCTCTCGGAGACAGTATACAATTCTAAAAGTAAGCCCTCTCTATGTTCCTTTACACACTTACTAAGGGATTTGAAAGATGTCAATGCTCTTGTTAAGCTCGAGTCAACCTTGAGCACAATCGTCTTTCATCTACCTCCAAGGTCATGGTTAGTTATCTCCAATCATCTCGGCTTTCTCCAACTGTAGAGAGCCATTTTAACCTAAGAATGACATCGACGTTACTTATGGTGAGAGGAAAAAAATCCTCTATAATTGTCAAGTCCGGTAACTTCACTTCTACCTCTACGTAGTTGCCAACCCCGTTTAGTTTCTCTTCATTACTTAAAGTGATTGAATTTCCCATAGTGTTTGAAATAGGTAGCCCTAACTTATCCACTACATTCTTAAAAATAAATTTATGTGTTGCTCCACAGTCAAATAATATAACCACTCGCTGTGTTATCTACCTTACATTTTAGCTTCATAGTCCTAAGTGCACCCAGGTCCTACTACCGAGCTCAAAAAGAGCTTTACCCTTTCCATAACTAATAGTTCCTCTAAGTGCAACCGCCCATCCTCTCGCTTCGCCTTCTCTATACTTGTCTTACTAACCATGAGGACATAAAGCTTTTTATTCTTACATTTGTGACCCACATGTCATTTTTCATCACATCTATAACATAGTCCATTCTCCTTACAGGGCTCGAGCTTTCGCAGTTGTTAGTTTTCTCACTCTAGCATTAGAGGCTGAAGAAGTGGATGAAGGTGATGGATGAGATGGATCTTGTGTGATTTTTAGGTTAGATATGACGAAGGAATGAGAGGCGATCACTAGGGCTAGTGGTCTTTATGACAATGTTAGTGTTGGAAAAAGGTGTGAAATGGGTTAGATTTGAGTGATTAATTTTTGAGGGGGTCCATGGGGCCATTCGGGCCTCACTCTTGATTGGATTAGAAGGGAGCTCCCTTTGGTTTTGGGTTATGGCTTTAGGATTAAGCAAATCATTTTTCCTTTCAACTTGGGCTATAATAATCATGGACTCCTTAAGTTTAATGGGGTTAATCATGGTCTCGCTCGACCTTGATTCTCTCATCCAACTCATTGAGGAATACAACAGTCATGTAACTCTCCTCCATCTTCTTTACTCGTTACGACGATCATTTCAAACTACGTACGATATTCAGCCATCGTGCCTATCTATCAAACAATAAAGAATCTTTAGATGATCGTCTCCTCATCTAGTCCAAGGAACCTCCAGAGCATTTGCAACTTCGAGCTCCCCTCATGAAGAGAATAGCTCTATTCTCTCCTCAAATCTCATCCATGATTATACTTCTCTATCGAAACACACACCCACTTTTTCTAGCTTCTCGGACTCCATTAGTTTGTTGATCGCAAAGTACCTTTCAGCTCAAAAAACCCATGCGTCTATGTGTTCTTTAATGAAGGTAGGAAGATCGAGTTTTCGGGGCTATTGATCATTCTCTATTATCTTTTCTACTAACGATGAAGCCTCGAGTGAGTTTTCTAGGCTCGGTGTGGTTTCCCGAGTGAATAGTGTTAGCTTCAACTTGAGAGTAGGCCCCGATGGATTGCCCTTCGAGAATGACCCCGAAAATCCATTCCATCCTTTCAACCATAATTGATATAGAAACCGTCGGCTTTGATACCTCATCCTTGAGCGAGAACAATTGCTTCAAATCATTCTCTATTTTTTTTAATCGTGACTCCATTCGAGTGGTGGGCATTACCCACAAAGGATTAATGCTACGATACCAAAATGATAGAGCATAAATGCATAAATTGATAGAACCCAAATGCATAACACCAGGAAAATAGAACATGAAATGATACTTTACTAGAATTATAAATGTTAACGATAATTTGAGAGGTCGCCTCTCTCTCGGATAAGATTGTTACCTTAAAATTACACTTACTTCTCCCATGGTCCCCTCCCTTTGTCAAGTATAGCCTATATATTCCCTTTTAATTATCTTCAAACCAACCTTACACCAAGGACCGCCCCTTTATAGAACTTAATGGGTTATTAATAAATCACTTAATCCCAAAACTCGACTTATAGCCCCCACAATGTAACCAATCAACAACTTAGAATAAAATGAACAAACAAAGAAAAGTAACACGGAGATGTAATGGGTTCAAGATAGCCCAACAATTGCTACCCATTGTTCAAACTGGATCCTTATCTTTCAAATACAAACTTATCCGCCTTTAGCCTTGACCCTCTTTTCCCTTTTCTTTTGTAGACCAATCTAACGACGAGGCCTAACACATACCAAACAAAATTTAATGCATATATCATGCATTAAGACATAATTTTATTATGTAAAATATTATTATTTTATACAAAAAATTTGTATACATTGGTACTAAGATAGATGTCAATCTTTTTTTTTTTTTAAATACTAGTTTGGTATTCTTAGAGAATTATGTTTTGGGTATGCTAGGTTTGAAAAGTGAGACATTCATAAGATTCGAAACCAAAATGGATAAAATCAAAATAATATTACTTGATTTGATTAACCATTAGAAAAACAAACACGACTCTAAGTTTGCTCCATCTATCATACTAAATAAATTGATAGGGTTAAAATTGGAATAAATCCAATACATAAACAATCCTTTATTTAGGATAAATGAAGGAATCGAGAGGGGGAGAGAGAGAGAGAGAGAGAGAGAGAGAAAAGATAAAGAGAAAAAGAAAGAGAGATAAAAGAGTAGTATTTCCTTCCATAACCAATTCTACTATTCTATATGGTGTACCATATGCATTTCACCATTTGCTATATAAGTAGATCACAATACATATGCTTCAATTATTATTAATTACTATTATTATTACTAATTACTAATAAAATTAAAACAAGATGAACAATCACCGTAAAGGAGTGTACTATTCTTTTACTCGTTTATATAGACTCATGTGCACTATTTACGTACACGCTAAAATGTACTTGTGTATTTCATCGCTCGGTAGCTTTTTTTTTTTTTTGGATTTCATGTCTATTTTTAAGTATTTATATGTGAGTTTTCTCAAAATGTTGCATTTTGTCTTTCTTTTTTTCAAAAAATTTTATTTTAATTTAAAACTTCATTTATATTATAGTATGATCTCCGATTGCTAATATGAGATATAAACAAAAAGAGAGGAGGGAGAAGAGAGAGGAACAACAATGCTCATTCCGACTCTTTGATTGTCAAACTTATTTTCAATTTGTTCATCTTGGAGAACAAAATATGCTTGTAGCGGTCACAAGTCATAAAATAGTTAGAGGAAATAGATCGAGAGCTAAAAATATTTTAATTTTTTTTAGTTTTATTTGAATTTTTGTGTATTTTTTCCGTATTGAAATAGGTTTTAAAGTTCTAAATAAGTTTATTAACTTTATTTTTGTAACTTTGAAGTGTTTTTTGAATAAAAATAACATTGAATTTTAATTTGAGGAGACTAGAAACTAGAAACACGATTTTCTCGAAAACCTTTCCGGCGAACTCAAGTTTGTTAGAAATGGTCACGAACAACATGTTGTTTATTGCGCATAAGTAGATGATGTGTTATTTGTTTTTATTTTCTAAGTTCGGCCCATGTAGGCTTGGTCCTCCAAGACCAATTGCACGAGCTTGCTCCCTAGTTGGACTTTTTCTTTTTCAATAATTTATTATTTTATTTATAAAGGATTTTTAGGCAAAAACTTTGAAAGATCGAATGCTATTTTTTGTATTCTTACACGGTCTAATGAAGATAAAATATATAAGATATCTTTTCATATTTTAGAGTTAACATATATTTAATATTATATTACTATTATTATTTAAAATTTATTTTTTCAATTCGTCATTTTTTTAAAAAAATCTCATCCCTTAGTTTTTATTTTTTTATGAAAAAATTAATTATAAATATAATTTATTTTTTACTATAAATGAATTTTAGAATTAAATTTAAAAAATGACTATTTTTAAAAAATAAATTGATATAATATATATCATAAATTTTTTAAACAATAGTGACAGGACTGATCCGGCCACTTGTAAGAGTTTCTTTAAAACTTTGATTGAGGGCCATCCATCTAAAAAGCATTAGTTTCTCTATGTTTATAAGTACATCTCGTTGTATGGACACTTAGTATGATAGTTGGATATCGAAGTTTTTAAGCATAAAATTAGAGTGTTTCCCCTAAATGTCTTGTGGGTTGGGCCCTGAATTAGGCCCTTTGTCAAAACTTTAGATTTCCATTGGCCACTATGGGCTTTCCTAAATGCAAATTCAGCCTAGCTAGGATATATCGAAACATCAGCTTCCTTAATTGATTTGCTTGCCCAACCCAACTGATTTCCCATGAGTAAATCTTCAATATTATCCAGGATATCAAACCGAAATCCTTGCCATCTTGCATGGTCCGATTTAGGTAATTTTCCAGTAATCCCTCATGTTTCCTTTCTAACTCCTCCTATGTATCCGTGGCCCAAAATGCTTAGGCATAGCTAGGACTTTGATCAACAGTAGCCATCCGCCCATGGGTGGTGGATGGCGAATTTTTTTATGTGGTGGTGTGAAGGATGTTGGCCGTGGGTGGTAGAGATGAATGGAATTGGTGGTTTAGGTGAGTGGCTGGCAAGTGAAGAAGAAGAAGAAGAAAACGGGTCAGAAAAATTATCTCATATTAATATAATTATCGAAATCTTAGTTTAAGTATTTTTGGTTCATTTTTTGAAAGACATATCAAAATAATTAAAATATTTTAAGTTCATAATTTTATATTACATTAAATCGATTTTTTCAGTTTAAGTATTTTTGGTTCATTTTTTAAAAAGACGTACTAAAATAATTAAACTATGTTAAGTTTATAATTTTATAGTACATTAAATCTATTTTTTTTAAAATAGATAATTTATGAAAAAACTTAGAAAGAATTGATTAAAAAAATTATAAAATTGGATGATTTTTTTTAGACCCGTAACATAACGGAAGCTATCAAACTTGAATTATTTTTTGAAATAATTTCACCTATTCTGTTTCTATTTGATACGCAACATGGCACAAACAACAAACTAGAAATTTCTAGTTACAAAAGTAAACAAAACGCAACAAGTTAAACAATATTTAGTGACAACATAAATTAAACAGCACGCAGTAAAACGACACCGTATAACCCAACACAATAACTCGCCAATCACATTCAATTCCCTAGCCCACTGGACTTCCCGATGGTCACATTCCACAACCACCCACCCCCCGGCATCACAATTTGAACCTTATGAATCGAGGCAGGATTTCAATCTCTATAAGCTCATTTCTTTAGCAGTTTCGCCAGGATTAAGGGAAACTCTAAACAGGAAAGTCTCGTGATTGTTTCCACGAAGTTGCACAAGTTTTAATACATAAAAACATCTAAAGAGCAGAGTTAACTGCCTCAGCTTTCCCGTAGAGGTTGCTTCAGAGAAAGCAAATACGGCCTTTCCCCACATTATTGGCAATTTGGCATCCATGACAAATAGAGACTATCAACTTAAAGACCATGCATCCAATATGATCGAGCAGTTAAAGGCGAAAACTATAGTATATAATAATTTTGTTTAAACGAAGAATATACAATGAAGGCAGCAGTAGCCATAAGATTGTAATCATCCGTCAACAATAAAAAGCTTAAAATTTTCAAAAGATTTGCAGACCCATCAATAGTGAAACGACATCTTTAAATTGAAAGACATGGCTCTCAAATGCCCGAAGTTATTACGAATGGGGCTACTGAACATCCAGATAATGTTTCTATAACCTTGGAGCTAGGTGAGTGCGAGGAAGGTCCCAATCGGTTACAATATGGTTGCGAGTGATTTCCTTGAGGGAACGGCAGCCACTTAATGCCATAGTAAGTTCAAACTCCTCACGCAGCATTTGAAGTACTTTTCTCACACCAACCTCTCCTTCAGAAGCCAGTGAAAAGACCACTGGTCGGCCAATCTGTCATCAAGACCGCCACCAAATAATTCTCAATTCTCAGTTTCTTTTAATAGATATTTAAAAAGAGAAAAGGTGCATCTTGTTGAATGAATGCTGTTTTTAAGCTAAGGGACTGCAAAAAATTAGATGAATCTAAAAAATCAATACTGAGCTCCTATCTGTTTGCAGTGGAGATATTGTTAAATAAAGCCAAAAAGGACAACAGTAGCATCAGGCAATAACTAATAGACAGAGCCTAACAGGTCAATTACCTGTCATCTTGGAGAAGTTGTTAATAGGTCACGGAATTATGATAATTATCAAAAAAGGAATTACGTGTCCTATTTTATAGTCGTGCATTGTGGTCAATACTTATTCCTAGCATATAGGTGGTTCATAATTATGCAGCCTTTTGTCATGATTGCCATAGGAAAGCTTTGGCTATGTGCGATACTTACAAATATGCCAGAGGCTCCAAGTGCCAATGCCTTGAAGACATCAGTTCCACGCCTTACACCACCATCCAAGAACACTGGAACTCGTCCTTGTGCAGCTTTGACAACCTGACATCATCAATACAGAGATAAAATATAACCCTCCTTTTAAAATGTGATCATTTTTTCAATCAACTTAGCATATGCTTCAGGTATAAATGTGTTGAAGTACCTCTTCCAAGGCCATAATAGTGGAAGGGACATAGTCAAGTTGGCGAGCACCGTGATTCGACACGATAATCCCTGCTGCTCCAGCTTGAATTGAAAGTCTTGCTGCAAAACCAGCAAAAAGAGAAAATTTTCAAGCATTCACAAAAATTACAAAAGTGACCGTCGATTTTGCTATATTTGAATTGTTCTTACCATCCTCGGCAGTCAGTACACCCTTCACTAGAATTGGCAGTTTGGTGATTGTCTGCAGCCACTGCACATCCTGTACATATTCCAAAAGAAATCAATGGAACAACTCATCTATACAAAGAATTGACTCATAATCACGCTATACCAATATTACAGTTTACAATACTCGCTGATTTTGAAATATTCTAGATTCATTAGCAAAGTAATTTGGATTGTCTATAATCTTTGACAAGCTCGGTATCTTTCTTAACTTCCAATACAAAGAACTGAAAAAAAGAGTTTTTATTTCAAATTCTAACATCTTGCAAGTATTAGACAAGTCAAACCTCTTTTACCAAATGTCTCTAATTCATTTAAAACACATAAAAGAAAAACATCTAAATGCTTTCTCCAGATTTAAGTAGTGGCTCATAAATTAACCCAAAGCCTCTGAATCATTTCATATCTCAACCATAGAGACCAATCTATCATACCTTCCAGCTCAGAGTACGATCGATTTGACCAGCAACATATGAAGCAAGTCCAGAGTCAGCAGCCTGTACCAGCCCAACATAGCCAATTATGCGTTGTATAAAAGAAAGTCACCAATCTATAACGTTCAATTATACAATTATTCTTCTAAGAATCATATTATTATTCTTCAGAAGCAATTAATTGGAACTCACCTTGTCCATCTTGCCAAGGTCCAAACCTTCGAAGTTCTTCAATGTCAGAAATGGTGGCAGAGTAAATCTGTAAGAGAACCAATCAGCAGAAACTATATAAAGTCAGAATCAGGATATATCACTCCTTTGAGCGAAGGGTTTGTTAAGGTCGGTGTTGATTTGAAGTTTGCACCTGTTCTTGATGTCAGCCTCCCTGCGGCCCAACCTTGGGGTATCAACAGTAAGAGCAATAGCCTTGAAACCTGCCCTTTCAGCTCTTCTGACAAGCTGAGCAACAACATTCCTGTTCTTGTACACCTATGAAAATAAACAGAAAAGGCATTCCTCAAGCAAACTATTGATATCTGCAAGCACACCTGAAAACCAAGGCATTTTGGTCCAACAAATAAAAGGACATCAAACATATTATTCCAAGCTTACATAGAGCTGGAAAAAGCGGATGCCAGGTCCAGTCGACGCAACCTCTTCAACACTGGATGTAGACCATGAGGACAGTGTCTGAAATAATCAGGAGAAAATTTAAAAATTAAGTACAGTGCAGACGTCTAAGATTGAAGTCGAAGAAGCAAGGACATCTCTGAGGAGCACGTCAATGATTAAAATTTGTCAAAAACATTCTTCAGAAAAAAAAAAAAAAAAGGGGAAGGAAAAGAAAACAGTTTAAAGGAAGAAAAAAGCCAGTAGAGATTTCTGAAACACTCAGGAGTTTCAAAATATCACCATAGCACCACTTCAGTGTTTGAGGGTTTTACACTTTAGGTAAAGGTTTCACGAAATACCATTTACATATGACAGTTCAAAAAACCACATATCCCATAATTGTAACCAACACAACGAACATTGAAACAGTCTTCAATTACTTGCAATCACCAAAAATTTTAGGGAGGAATGTGATAACACATGAACGAACAAGCACATAACACTAGCCCCTCTATTTTGGCGTTAACTAGTTGAATTGGTGCTATTTATACTTAGAAAATAAACATAAGCAATGCCTGTCAAAGTAGAAAATTCAGACTTTGAAACCCTGCAGCATATCTAAATAAAAACAGAAGATTGTGAAAAATCAAACCATGATTGTCCCAGCAGCTGATGCAGCTCTTGCTGTTGCATACTCCCCTGTATTAAAGGAGAAGTATTTTATCAAACTAAGGATCACACCCTTCGTCAACAGATTCAACGGCCAGATTAAACCACTATCAGAAGAGATCCATTACCAACAACATACCAAAACTGAAGCACACTGCTACATACCTTCAGGATGAGCCATTTTCTGCATGGCAGTTGGAGCAATCATAATAGGCATTGATATTTTGAAGCCCAAGACAGTGGTGGCCATGTCTATTTTGCTCACATCAATAAGAATACGGGGTCGAAACCTATGTATAATTAAGAAACAGAACAAACACATTACTAAAGATATTAATGCATAAAAATTACCTCAGCTACCAAGCAAAAAAGGATGCAAATTACAATCAAGTTCCACACCCTGCGTTATGGCTATAAACTATAAAGATACAGAAACAAAGGCTCACAGAATTCTTGAGAATGCATTTCTGTTTTCTGCTAGAGTCCACTGGTCCTCTGCACCAGAAGCATAGTAGTCATAGACCATCTTTGGCAATTTTTCCTTAGCAATGGCCTCATACTCTGTGACATTGGTTATCTCCATCTTTAAAATCAACTGTTAAATCCTCCCACTTAAAAAATCTGTATTTAAGAATCAACAAACTAATTACCAATCAATAAAAGAATCAACAAACTAATTACCAATCAATAAACACAAGATCAGGTCATATCATTGACATGGACAAAAACACAAACACATGATGGGGTCCCAACTCCCAACTAATGAACTAATTTGTATTATTATTACACCATACTCGTGCTGAAAGAATCTTCACCAGAGCATCTAAAATTACATGTACAAAAAGAACAGACACGGAGAAAGAACTAGATAACTAAAAACAAGAACCAAAATATAATTTTTAACAGAGTGTAAACTAAAAATAAAGACTTGCAGGAGTCCAGGTACAAGAAACCTGAGTGTATCAACTTCAAGTGGGAATATTCCACATATGACATATAAAATATAGATAAAGTGAAAAGAAAATGCATATTTTTTATCTTGACGGTAAATATAAAAAGGTCTAAAGTCTAAATCAAGAAACTTTGACACTTTAATCAAGTATGCAATAAAAGAAACATTTGCAGCTCTATTTGTTCCCTTGAAGTTTTGAAACACTCAAAAGACACAAGATAAACAAATACCTCATCGTTAGCTCAATAGGAAAGATAAAAGTATCTTCTAGCACCATTGTCAAAAAAAAAAAAAAAAAAAAAGTACAGGCATGCTCATAACCAGAAGCTCAAAAACAGGGTAAAAGATAAAGACCCACATGAAAGAAATGTGAAAATTTACGCAGTTACATACCAGTAATCAAAGAGAGACTGAAAGTAAGGAAAGGTAGAGAGAAAATTAAAACAGACCTTTGAAAAGCAAGACTATGAACTGGAGTAGTGCATGCAGAGGGACCAGTGGGGAGAAGTTATAAGAGATTGACTTAGGGAGAGACACAGAACGCAAAACAAGGAGGTTAATTATATGTACGAATTTGCATGGAGACAAAAGTGGTGGGGTTGAGATACCATATGTACACTACACTAGCTTAGCTACTACATATATGGTAATGGATGGGATATGGAAGAGAGAAGAAGAAAAGAGAGGGAAAATATTACATCGTGTTCGAGTGGATGAGCATTTGGAGGTGAGAATTTGAGATCAAATCCTATCATTGCAAATTGGGTGCTTCTCGTCCACATAGCTTTTGTGTGTTTCGCAGCTTTTTCTCCCTCGTTATCACTTATCCATCACCTTTTTTTTTCCCTTTTTTTTTAAAAAAATATTGAGTACAATCCAAAATGAATAAGAGGGATTGGAAAATAAAACGACATGGAGGGTGCCTCTCCTTCCTTCTATTGGTATTTGACCATTTTGCTATGACGTCCGGATTGGAATTGTCAGGTTTGGGCGGGTAACCCGAGACGGAAGATCCATACCTATCAGTTTTGGTGATGTCAGATCAGGTTGGACGGTGGTGTGGTTGTCTGCGGTGCCCGACTCCGTTTGATTTTTCTTTTCAAATGCATGCATGCATTTAATTAATCACGATATTATATCCTGGAAAATTGAACTAGAGAATTTAAATTTTAAATAAAATATTGTAACCGTCATTAGCGTCATTTTGGTACTGAAACAACACTCAAATTCTTACTAGGATCATACTAATATATCATTATAATGATTCCAAATATGCAATCGAATGTCATTAAAAAATTGTTTGTCTTTTTCATTGTCAAGGAATAGAGAAAACGTGATTTTCTTATTTTTATAAAAGTAGAAGTTAACTCTTTAGACTGTGTTTACGAGAAATTGTGATGTTCTTAACAATATAAAATTGACATAAAAATAAGTAATGAGATAGCTAAATTCCATTGATATCTGACTTTGTACTCCCAATTTGACCTTAGCCAAAGAATCGAGCTTCTGATATCAAATGGTCATCTTTTTGAAGGGCAGTGGAGGCGTTTGGGTTTATTAAAGTAGTTTTCAATTACAACAACTTTTCTTTGATTAAAAAAAAAAAAAAAAAAACATCTATGCTTGCCAAAAGAATAATAATAATTTTATGAAGTTTCATAAAAAAATTGAAGAATAATGCTAAAGATATTTATTTGTTTTGTTAAAATTTTTTATTAAGTGTCTTACAGTTGATATTTTATTAATTTCTCAGTTTCATAATTATAACTATATTTTTAAATGTAATAAGATCTTTATTTTATAATTGCAACTTTGAAAATTTTCCCAATTTCTTTTTATCAATGAAAAATTCAAAATTTTAATTTTAGCTCATTAAAAATCAATTTTTCTATTTATTTATACACTTTTTTTATATATAATTCGTAACGATACAAAATAAAGTTCGGATTTGTTGATTTCAATATAAAATTTTGGTTTTGTTAGTTTCCCCGCCCAAAAAAAAAAAAAAGTGAAAATGTTGGATACCAAAGAGATATGAATCACTTAAGAGTATATTAAAAATACCATAAAATTATTTTCACTCCAAAAAAGAAAAATCCATTTCTCAATTTCTATTTTAAATAATTAATCTAATCTATCCGAGACTTTTAAACTTAAGTTGGGCTTGAAACTTGCATTAACTGAGCTAAAGAAAGCCCAAACTATATTATTTAACACTGAACTTGGACAGACTCGGGGCCCATATTCAGATCCTAAAGTTTTTGTAACTGAAAGTCCCAAACCCAATCCGTTTCAACTGATTTCTTAATTTCCTTCCGAGAAAAAGCAGTGACTAGAGTAAGCAAAGAAAGGAAAGCATAGCTTCTTGACCCCTACTCTACTTCTCCACACTAGCAAAACTGAAACTGAAAACCAAATAACAGAATCTCACAAGCGTGCGGCAATGGCGGATCGGAGTCGAACTTTTCTGAAAGGAGAAGTAGTAACTTACGCTTACATTCTCCTTTACATTGCTCTATCCAGTGGCCAGATCTTCTTTAACAAGGTCAACTCCTTCTTTCGCGCTGTTTATTTTCCTTATCATTTCTTGATCTGCTAATAACCGTCACTGCTCTGTTTGGTTTGTATTTAGAGAAAGAGAGGAGGATTGAATTCAGCGTTTAGAATAAAGTATTGTTTAGGAACCTAGAAAATTGGAATTCCATGCTCGATTGGAATTAAACGAAAAAGAATATTCGGTTAAAACCTTTGAAGAAAGCTTGAATTCGTGCGGCATTCAACATTTTTTTTATATGAAAACAACTCAGTTTTGAGATGAGATTGTGCGAAGGATGATTCCAATTTTTATTGATGGCTAAGTCCTTGAAATAAACATGCCCATGCTAAAATTTGCCGAAACAACCCAATGCGATTAAATGGCACAGTACGGTAGTATAAAGTGCACTGTTTGGAATCATTTCTCATTTACACTTTTGTCCTATGAAATGGAAATATAGCAGACACTCACAGCGTCTCAGTATAGGTATACCCCTAACCTCTTGATTATGGCATTAGACAAGGATGCATTTTTTATTATAGTAGTAGACAAGGATGTATTTCTGAAGATGCTGGAGGTAATTTATATTAGAATTTGCCAAACATGGAATAAACAGCCTAAGGACTTGCCCTGTTAGGGGATTAGGGAATAGGCAGAGAACCAAAACCCGAGTATATATTATTGGGGAGCATGTTGTTATTATCATACGGTAAGGCTAGGATTTGAGTTTGTTAGGGTAACCCAAAGAAAATAGGAGAGGACAAACATTATGAGCAATCTTTAGGTATTCAGTTTATCTAACCAGTGATTCATTACCTTAAGACGTTTGATTTCAAATTTTGGTTTACAAAAATTAGATGACAGGCAACCATTTGGTAGCTACTGTTTTATGAAGGGTCCTGTAGAACCTAGGTCGTATGTTTGAATAGATAGACTGGAGTATACTAAAATAAGTAGATTATGAATTGTTTACACTACCATTGAATAATTGAATGCATCAAAAGACGATAACTGGAAGTGAGATGCTGAAGGAGTGCAAGGTAATGTTTTTGGCATCATGGTTCATGGAATTTGTACATTTTCAGGCTTTGGTGGCATGTCTCACATTTTGTTTCTTAAAGATAGGCTCGCTCTATGTGAGTTTTTGAACAAGATTGAATTAAGGCCTATCATTGTTGGCATTTGCAGTTGAATGTTCCTTGATATATGTATTTAGAGGGTTTTGTATTGTGAAATTATTGTCATTAATATTTCATTTTATAAGCTTTTACATGGTTGTGTTTTATACAAGTAGCTCCTAGTACTATTTCATAAAATGTTCCTTAGCACAGCTAATATAAGGTTTTGTTTAATTTCAGTGGGTTTTGTCATCTAAGGAAATAAACTTTCCTTATCCTCTTGGATTGACTCTGCTTCACATGGTCTTCTCCTCTGTTTTGTGTTTTGTACTAACCAAAATTTTCAAGGTATTGATTGATTGGACTCTCTGATCATGGGAACCTTCCTTAAGCAACTCTTAATCCTTATTTTTTACTCGTTACAGGTTATGAGGGTTGAGGAAGGAATGACAATAGAAATGTAAGTAAAAAAATTAAAATTTCTCCATTATATTGATGATGAACGTCTTTGACAATTTCATTAGATGCATTGTGATTTGTCCTATATCTAACTGATGTTCGTATACCAAGATATACAACTTCAGTTATTCCAATTGGTGCGACATTTGCAATGACTCTTTGGCTGGGAAACACAGCATACCTGTATATATCTGTGGCTTTTGCACAAATGTTGAAGGCTATCAGTAAGTGTTCACTGTCTTCATTTTCATCCCTTTTTTACCAAGTTTACAGTGTAAAAAATACATAGTTTTTACATGAGCAAATGCTACATTCAATGAATTTAAAGACACAAAACTTCATAAATACATGCAATGCTCTGGTTGTGATTACACTCCACTTTTTTTTGCTTTTGTTAACATGAATGATTCGTGTCTTTGTTATTTGTTATGTGTATCATTTCCTTTTTACATCTAGATAAATTGTCATTATGAGTTGGAATAATCATCTGGATCTATTCTGGATATTAATTATGATGCTCAGCTTCTGTGATTGCATCTCTGTTCAGTGGCTAGAGTTGGCCAGTTATCACCAGGTCCTTTGGGATTTGTCCTTCTGGACGCTTTGTGATGTTTGATTTCTTCAATGAGATCTGCAGTGCCAGTAGCTGTTTTTGTTCTTGGAATAGCAGCTGGGCTTGAAATGATGAGCTGCAGAATGCTTTTAATAATGTCAGTGATAAGCTTCGGTGTTCTAGTGGCTTCTTATGGAGAAATAAATATCAGCTGGATTGGAGTTGTGTACCAGATGGGTGGAGTTGTTGGAGAGGCCTTGAGACTTATTTTTATGGAGATCCTGGTGAAGAGGAAGGGTCTGAAATTAAACCCTGTATCTGTCATGTATTATGTCAGTCCCTGCAGGCACGTAATATCTTAATCTTTAACTAGTAAAGCTTCATTCCCATGGAAGTGTTCCTTACTATTTCCATGAACAGGAAAATTATGACTGTTTGAATGTGATTTTGTTTCTTATTTTATTTTATTTTTTATGCAGCGCTATTTGCTTGTTTATTCCTTGGATCTTTCTGGAGAAACCAAGGATGGAAGCACATGGGACATGGAACCTTCAACCACTAGTGCTATTGCTCAACTCTCTTTGTACCTTCGCTCTCAACCTATCAGTTTTCCTTGTGATCTCACATACAAGTGCTCTGACCATTCGTGTGGCTGGAGTTGTCAAGGATTGGGTGGTTGTCTTGCTGTCTGCTCTTCTATTTGCAGATACAAAGCTAACAATTATAAACCTGTTTGGCTATGCTATTGGTGAGTGTCTAAATTATGAAGTCTGATGAAGTTATAAATGCCTGTTGTGTTGTGGATAAGGTGTTTACATGAAACGCCATTTCCAAGAACAGAACTTTCATATTTGTGCTTGAAAGGCCTAGACTGGTGAAATGTCAAGAAATCCAACTATTTATAAGTAGCATTTTGCACAAGTCATACTAAATGGCGATTTTTTTCCTTCTCTTGTAGCTATTGTTGGTGTAGCAGCATATAACAATCACAAGTTGAAGAAGGAAGCTGCTAAAGGTAGTTCTGATGAATCACATCCTGAATCCATACCATTGACTGAATCATCAACTTCCAACAGTTGAATATACCAAAGGGTAGTCTATGAAGACATTTTTGAGGTATGCAATTGCACATAAAGCAATCTTTTGTTGCTTCTGTGAGATCAGCTGTACATATCTTTTATCATCAAGAAATTACCTTACATGTTAATGCTGGACTTTGTATTTAAATTCAACACCGTATTATGCATTGGCTCAGCTGCTCCTATTTTGGTGTTTCTTTTTGTGCCAGTATGGAGCTGATTCTAGTGAAGGCAATGGGGTAAAGATGCAAAACCCATAATTGTATCACTTGAAAAGAAACATTTGCGGAAGTGTTTCAATGTTTGAGGTATATTGTTGTAGACTACTGTCTATTTGTTCTGTCATTCATTTGTAGGGAGAGAAAAGGAGGTAAAGCAATTGGGGGTTCCCTAGTCCCTACATTCTTTTTTCCCTTCTTCATCTTGAAAATATCAATATCAATGCCCGGGTATATATGAAATTCACAAATGTATAACGTGTATAGTTTGGAATTTGGATCATGAATGCTGATTTGCCCGACCTGCAGTTTACCTTTTTCACATTGTGGCTTGCTCGCGTATGCTGGCCAACCACAGTAAAACTTCATAACCTTTACTGCATCGTATTTTCTTTTTATGATAAATGAAAAATGTTAAGATTTTCATGGAGAAAAGAACGTTTGCATCATACCTTTCTTGATCTTTCGGTTAAGATCAAGGAGTATCTACTGTCAAGTGTAACTTTTGATCGTGAAACTTTAGATTCATTTATGTCCTCAGGGGTACATAGAACTACATACTGTTTAGGATTTACTAGTTGGTTGATCGTATTGCTATGTTATATAATAGTTTAAATTATTTTAAAAAATTATTTTAGTTTGATAGTTTATTACAGGTTTATTAAAATATATTAAATTAAAGGTAAAAAAAAAAATCTAATTTATTTATTTATTTATTTTTTCATAAATTTGGTAGTTAAAAAAACAAGATTTGTTCTTCTTTAAGCATTATGTATTGGTTCTTAAATAAAAATTTGTAATAATTTAAATTGAAAATTTAATCCAATATATATATATATATTGTAATAAGATTGCATTGAAAAATAAAGCTGCAATTAATATAAAAATTTGTATAAAAACTAACAATTTTTTTGTCCATTCTTATTTAATGTTATTTATTTTTATTTTTTGAAAATTTGTATATTTACTCACAAAACAATTAGTAATATTAGTACAAAAAGCTTTGGGTGTTTTTTCTAAAACATTATTTTGATTATTTATTTGAAAGAAATTGGTTTTAGAATATTAAAAAAAAAATTAATAACAAATGGTTGGTGTTATGCATATGATACATAAGTAATGTGTAATAAAACTAACGATCTCATAGTTTTTATACATCATAATCATAATTAGTAGGTTTAGACCGTGCAATATATATCGAAAAATATTTTTTTTAAAAGTACTCAAGTTGTAAAAAAAAATGTATTGAAGTTAATAGATTGAAATAAAAACAATTATGAAATTGATTTTGATAAATTTTGATTATATAAAGAAACAGACAAACAAAATATGTGAATTCTATTTTTAATTGATTATTTAATTTCTTTAAAAAATATATTTGAGACAAATTATTTGAAATATACTTTTAGCTTTTTAATACTTATTTAAAAATCATAAAAAAAATCCATTATATAAATTATATCAATATATTTTTTAAAAAATAAAATAATCATGTTTTTAAATTTTATTAAAAAAAGGTATACATAGAGAAAAATAAATCATATTTATTAACAAATAAAATTATATAAAAAATAAAAAAAATTAATTTAACGAGAATTTTCATAAGAAATGTTAAATTGAACAAATCAATTTTAAACAATAAGAATAATATAATCCGATATATATATATATATATATATATATATATATATATATATATATATATATATATATATATATATATATATATATATATATATCTATGTGTGTGTGTGTGTTCATTTTATAATCCGAAAGTATATCATATATTTTTCGTCATTATCAATCCGTGTGAAAAATAAAAAATATAACAATTAATTTTTCATAATTTTTGCACGCAATTAAATAATAAAACAAAAGGGGGGAAAAAAAAGCAAGACGAGCTTATAGCCTTGGGTTTAAAGAAGCAAGCCCTTACGACTTAATTTTTTTTTTAAAAAATAGAAGATGTTTCACTTGCATTGGACAACGAGCGTGAACGATGCGTCGCCCACTAGCAACTTTCAAGAAACTCGAGTTCGTCGGAAAAGTTGCCAAAATCATCGCTAAAAAAATCAAGAGTCTAGTTTCGGACCTCTAAAATCTATTTTTGTTATCATTTTTGCTTCAAAACACTTCAAAATTACCGAAATAAGGTCAATAAACACGATCGAAACCTTAAAAAACATTTTAATGCACATTAAAAAAACAAATCAAATTGAAAAATTTAATTAGGCGTCGATCTACATTCTTTAACTATTTTGTAGCTTAAAGCTACCATGAACACACACTATTAATAAATTTGGGAGACCAAAATAAATAATATGAATCCAAGATCGATAGCAAAAGGAGCTGAAATTAGACCTAACCGTGGTTTTCTTTCTCTTTCCTTTTCTCTCATTTTGCATCTAGAAACTAAGTTACAATACTAATAAAGTTATGGCCTAAAACAAAATCTTTTGAAAACATTAGAGATTAAAGTGCAATATCGGGTAAAACTCACATATAAACACCTAAAGACAATCTAAAAATCATAAAAATACCTCGTATAGTAAAAATGCACAAGTATACATGTAACACTCTCGGCCTAAAAAGAGGCTAAGAGCGTTACAACAATGCCACACACTTGTAGAATGCGAGGCAAAACCTATGATCACTACCTCGTGTATAACAAACAATGCACAACAGAATTATTTTGGTCTAAAGTTCAAGGCAAACCTTGGTTTATACACATACAAAACCAATTCAAGTTTTGTAAATGGAAATCATTTCATTATCTCAAAACATGTATGTACATTAACATACAAAATTCTTAAAGAAAACATAAGTTTACAAACATAAGTGACCAAACTTAGGAAACACAAAAGTGACCAAACAAAAAAGACATAGGTATTGTTTAGCCTTTAAACTTTAAACCTATGGATATAGTACTTACCTTGACAAACTCGAGCTTGCTTGTGCTAGCATCCTCAACGTCACCACATGCCTTCATGCATCATTTAGCTTATCAACACATTACAAGACAATCGTAAGCCGAAGCTAAATAAATGTAATCATGCTTGTATGCAAGAAAATACATTTTCTATAATATTAAAATTCATTTTTCTCTTTCGAGTGCACCTCGCTAAATGTATAGATTCAGCCCTCAATTGAAATCATGATTTATGAAAATCATAAAAGCACTAGACATATTCTATCCTTTTCGTCACAAAGAGTATACACTAGATCATACCTTTTGTGAGCCCTCTTTAAACATGCCAAGAGTATACACCAAATCATTCCTTTAGTATCTCCTCTTTGAACATACAACGAGTATTCACTAAATCATTCCTTTTTTATGTCTTCATGCTCTTTTTGAACATGTCTAGCCATTAGCTTGACAAATAGTATACACTATATCATTCTCTTTGCAAGTCATTTTTTTGGAAAACATGAACGTGTCTTTTTCTTTCAATACTTGAAATCATGATAAAAACATTTTCATGATGTGGATGCAATTAAAATGCAACCTCAAGTAAACATATGAAAATAAACTAAGTAACATCAAGTAAGCATATAAACCCAAAACCACGAAGCAACATAACATATGCTCAATCATAAAATAACACACATAAATACATAACCAAGTAACATCAAGTAATCACATAACCTAAAATCATCAAGTAACATCACAAATGTTCAATATCCAATAAATATATGAACATAAAACCAAGTAATTCCAAGTAAGCACTTAACCCGAAACCATCAAGTAACTTAACAAGTATTCAATTATCAAGTAACTACATGAACACAACAACCCTAGAGTATTTATACCTTATGTTGAGTTGTAATTACACTTACTAGTTATCTAGTAAATATAACATCACTTAAGGTGTAATATCAAGTAAACATAACATCATGAATAATCAATCATCAAGTAAACATATAAGTACAATAATCCTATAACACTCATGTCATGTGGTGAGTTGAGATGAGATTACACTTACCACCGATCAAGTGAACACATGAACACAATATCAAGTAAACACATCTTCATAAGTGATCAATTATCAAGTAAACATATAAACGCAAAGCTATCAACATAAAGTTCTATAACCTTTATGTCTTGTGGTGGGTTGAGATTATACTTATCCCGGAGTTTAGCTATCATTAAGAACACCTTAAAAGCTCTCAAAGGTCTCACCTTTCTCCCTTGCTTCCCTTTCGGCCAAAGTCGCCTAAATTCCCTTCCTTTTAATCAAACTCTTTCTCCTTTCCTCTCGGCTAAGGTGTGTTTCCCTTGGTAATTTCAAGGTTTTCTCTTGTTGTTTATAGGTTTATCAAGGTTAAAATACTACGAGAAAAAAAAATCTAGAACTTTCTCCCTTTTTTCCCCTCTTGGCTGAATGCGGAGAGATCTAAGGAAACTTGAGATTGCCACGTATATGGGATACTTAAGCCTATATATTTTCTTTAGGTGGATGCTTGTATAGGACTCCTAATCAATGGATCTTTTTAGATTAACACTTGTATATAATACTAATTAAGTTTTATTTTTAGATCAAAATATGTATGAGACACTTAATCCAACATATTTCTAGGTCCCTCAAGTTTAATTAACTTAACAAACTAGTCATCTTATTTAATCATTTAACTCATTGAAGCCCTTAATCTTTTAAGTGTCACACTTGAATCACTTAGTCATTAGCACACCTATAACACTAAACAATATGAATTTACAAAGCCAACATTCATCAATGTAAACATAAGGATATCATGTATATGCTTAACAAATAAACACAAACAAATACATATCGAAGTCTCGGACATTAAAATATATAATTATAAATAAATAGTGCAATTGAATGTGGGTAAATAGTGATGTCAATAGTAAAACCTCTAACTCTTTTAATTCTTTTTTGTAATATCAATGTTAAGAGCCAAACATTAGAAAGTCCGGTTGAGAGAGTAGGCATTGGGAAAATAATACTTCTATCATATAACCTAAGAGATGAATCAAAGTATTTGAAACTCTTAAGGATAGGAACTGTTAGGGTCGATTTAAAATAAATCAACATTTATTAATTTTTTCTCTACATATTTTTAATTTCCCTAATATGCTTTATAAAATAATGCTTGATACTTTTTAATGATCCGAAATATAAAAAAATAACGAGTGTTATTTATACTATTTGCCTTCACATATGTAAAGTTCTATTTTTTCGGAGGAGTAAAAGGAGTGATATTTTATAATGAATCGAAACAATAGTAATAGCTAGTTAATTATTGATATGAGTACTTTTAATGTGTCTTTAAGTGTATTTTTATGATAGTAATTATGCCTAGGATTACTTTATGTTTTAAATGATCATTAGAATGTTTAATTTTTATTTTAAATGTTAAAGAAATAAGTTGGGTTGTTACTCTCTGTGTTTATGGTAATTATTGTAGGTTGAGGACGTTTTGATCATAAAAAGTGTACTGGCCACATAATACACGACCATGCGGCATTGCACGATCACAATGAAGCGATACTGGAACTAATTTATGCATAATCGTGCAACACTATACGACCAAAATCATGATATGATGACAAGTCACTCAAAAGCCATCCTTTTGGGCAACCGAGCGAATATAAAAGAAAACCATAAAACTAAGAGGAGAACGCACGATTTTGGGAGAGAAAAAGGATTGAAGAAAACAAGAAATAAGAGAAGAAGAAAGAAAGCCTAAGAATCAAGGAAGAAGATTAGAAAAATTTCATAGCAACATTCAAGAGTTCTTTATTCCTTCATCTTTTATTCTTGTTTTATGACTTAATTTATTTTTAGTGTGCTATTGTCAATCATGATGATGGATTGCTAAATTTTCATTAGAGATTAACTCTTGAAACATTCATTTGATGTTAATCTTTTGAGATTAATTTTAGCATTGTGATGTTTATTGTTCTTCATGATCTAATTGCAATTGAGAAATTGAATTAGATGGTTTGTGTTGTGTTTCAATGAGAATTATTGCATAATAGATTGGTAAACATCGGGTTAATTGATAATTATAAAGAGATTGTGATTGTTGATTAATTGCTTGAAATATTGCTTAAGGAATTGATTGAAGCGATTTGGGTTTGGGATTATCAGTTGAGAAACTATAATTTCGCTCATGTTTCTTTAAGTCGATAGTTTAGTTGTTGCTTGAGAGAGAATAACTAACACCATTGGATATTTAGAGCCTTAGTTGTATTGAACCCATTAGAAAGATTAATAGGGGATGTGGATAGTGTTGATTCCTATCCTATTAAACCTTGATTAATTTCTTTAAGTAATTTTAATTCTTGTTTCGGTTATTGAATTCTTATTTGATTTATGTCTATCATCTTTATCTTATTTCTTAAACAAATTAAAACTAAGTCAATTGGTGGATAAAACATAGTCCTCGTGAGAATGATATCTTTTTATACTACTTGAGCGATCCGTGCTCTTGCGGAACCAACAACTTTTTAGCGTCGTTACCGGGGACTATCGTGTTTAACATTTGTGTTGATTTAGTTTAGCTTGATTTAAGAACTCAACTTTCTTTTTGTTGTGATTAAGCGTCTAGCATCGACGTGATTTCGGTGTATACTAAAGAGGAGATCGAAAAGGTCCCAATAACCACCAGTAGCATACATCCTAGAAATTACAAGACACGAAAGGGATCTTAAAAGAGAAATTCGCCAAGAAGGAGGCAAGATGACGAGAGGAAGAAGGGAATCAAGTGGGTCAACAAAGAACTCTCATGGAGTACGTGAGGTCGGGTTTCAACATAAACCAACAAAGTATTGCACGCCCGTCGATTAATACCAATAATTTTGAGATAAAATCGATGTTGCTCTAAATGATTCAATCAACTCGTAATTCTATGGGTTGGCCAATGAAGACCCAAATGCTCATATTACCAATTTCTTAGAGATTTGTGACACATTTAGATACAATGGTGTGTCCGATGATGTAATAAGGCTTCGTCTATTTCCTTTCACTCTAAGGGATTGAGCCAAGGCATAGTTGAACTCATTGGCTCTAGCTTTTATCAACAAATGGGATCAATTGGCTCAAGCTTTCCTAGCTAAGTATTTACCTTTGGCAAAAATGATAAGGATTATCGAGGAGATTACCACTTTCCAACAAGCCGAAGGGAGTCCTTATGTGAAACTTGAGAGCGATTTAAGGAGTTGAAACAGAGTTGTCTACATCATAATTTACCAAGGGAGTTATTGTTACAAACATTCTACAATTGAGTCAATCCTACTACAAGAGGAACCATTGATGCGGCGGTGGGTGGTTTATTAATAAGAAAAACGATTGATACCGCATAAATCTTCTTGAGGAGATGGCAACTAATAATTCTTTATGGGTAACGAAGAGGATCGAGACACTAATAAAAGAACAAAAAGGGGTTCTTTACCTTGATTCGAGTGACGGTATTACAAACGAAGTGGTTAAATTTTCAAAACAAATAAATGACATAAGAGTGGGTTCCTCAAGTCAAATGGTCGTCATTCAAAGTCCATGTGAGCTATATGGTCAAGTAGGGCACCTTGCTATAAATTGTTTTTTGGGAGGAGGAGTAAGTGAAGAACAAGTTAATTTTATGGGGGTTCAACAAGAAAGAGTGGGGAATAATCCCTATTCTAATACATATAATCTAGGTTGGAGAAATCATTCGAATTTTTCATGGTCCAATAATACGAGAAACATGGTTAGACCCCAAGGGCCACTCGGATTTCAACAAACTCCTCAACAAGATCGGTTCTTCTTTATCGAGTCTAAGATGGATAAATTCATCGATACAATAAGAAGCAAGTTAACCAATTAAGAAAAGGCTCAAAAGAGAAGGAAGGCGAAATTTGATCAAATTGCTAAAAACCACTCTTCATATATTCACAACTTGAAGGTGTAGGTTAGGCAATTAACTAATGTTTTCTCAACGAGGAATTTAGAGAGTTTACCAAGTAACACGAAATCTAATCGAAGGAACAAGTGAAGGTAATCACTCCTATGAGTGGTGTGGAAGTAAGTGCACCCTTAGTTGAGAAGAAAGGAAAAGAACCAATTAAGGAGGAAGGATTTGAGGAAGAAAAATAAGGAAGAAAGTCAAATGCTCAATCCTCTTCCTTTGTGCGTAAAGTGTCTTTTCCTTAAAGGTTAAAGAAATAACAACTTGATATCCAATTTGCTAAATTCTTAGAGAAATTAAAGAAATTACAAATCAACCTTTCTTTTATAGAGGCATTGGAGAACATGACCAAGTATGCAAAGTTCTTGAAGGACATCTTATCAAACAAGAGGACTTAGGATGAAAACCAAACGAGTGTCTTTAACAGAGAATTATAGCTCCATTATCTTTAGCAAAATGCCTTCAAAACTTCAAGATCCAAGAAGTTTTACAATTTCTTATGTTGTTGGTCACTTAGAATTTGCTAAATGCTCGTGTGATTTAGGAGCAAGTATTAACCTTATGCCTTTGTCTATTTTTAAAAAATTAGGCTTGGGAGAGGTGAAGCCAATTCCAATGGTGTTGCGATTAGCCGATCAATCAATTACGAGACCTTATCGTATGATTGAGGATATCTTAGTAAAGGTGGACAAATTCATCATCCTAGTGAATTTTGTGGTGCTAGTTATGATGAAGATAAGAATTATCCTTTGATCCTTGGGAGGCCATTCTTGAACACCGAAATAGCCTTGGTGGATGTGTATAAGGAAAGGCTCATTTTGAGGATAGGAGAGGAACAAATGGAGTTTTGCATGAGCAAAGCTATGAAACATCCTATTGAAAAGGAGAGTTACATGAGAATGGATGTGATTGAGGAGTGTGTTGTAAAAGAGGAAGAGAAAAAGCAAAAGGAAGAAATTTTTGAAGAAGAGAAGCAAGTGGTAGCTACTATGGAGGAGGAGACGTCTACACCGGAGTTGCTAATGAGGACAGATGCCCCTACATCACCATCAATTATCAAGCCACCTACACTTGAGCTCAAGCCTTTACCAAGTCACCTTAGGTGTGTTTTCTTGGGTGAGGAAGACACTATCTATCATCGTGTCTAGGAATTTATCAAAAGAGCAAGAAGATAAGTTGGTAGAAGTAGTGAGGAGTAAGATAAAGGCTATTAGGTGGTAACTCTTGGATATAAGGGGTATTAATCTGGATGTGGTAATGCATAAAATCCATTTAGAAGAAAGATGTAAGACGATGAGGGAGAGATAAAGAAGGTTGAATCCCAACATGAAGGAGGTGGTAAAGAAAGAGATTATCAAATTGCTAGATGCAAGAATTATCTATCTAATTTTGGATAGTGAATAGGTGAGCCTGTGCAATGCGTTTCAAAAAAAAGAAGGAATGATAGTGGTAGAGAATGAAAAAGGAGAGTTGATTTTCACTAGAATGGTTTCAAGTTGGAGAGTATGTATTGATATAGGAAATTGAACTCGACCACTAGGAAGAATCACTTTTCCCTCCCCTTTGTTAATTAAATGATTGAGAGAATTACGGGTTTCTTTGATGGTTTTTTGGGTTACAATCAAATTTTTATCTATTCGAAAGACCAAGAGAAAACAACCTTTACATGTTCTTATGGCGTCTTTGCTTATCAATGTATGCCATTTGGGTTGTGTAATGCATCGATCACCTTTTAAAGGTGTATGATGACCATTTTTATGGATATGATTGAAGATATTATGGAAGTGTTCATGGATAATTTTTTGGTGTTTGGGAGTTTATTTGAGTTATGCTTGAAAAATCTAAAGAGAGTGCTCAATTGGTGTGAGGAGGCTAACTTGGTCCTCAATTGGGAGAAGTGCCATTTCATAGTGGAAGAAGGCATTGTACTTGGGCATAAAATTTCCAAAGAAGGGATTGAAGTTGATAAAGCCAAAACCAATGTGATAGCAAGACTTCCTCCACCAACAAATGTGAAAGGAGCTAGAGCTTTCTTGGGCCATGCTGGTTTTTACTCGTCGATTCATTAAAGACTTCTCTTCTATTCCTAGGCCATTTACTAACTTATTGGTAAAGGATGTGTCTTTTCACTTTGACTCTTCCTATTTTAATGCGTTTAACATGTTGAAAAAGGCTCTAGTGACCGCACTCGTATTGATTTCCTAGATTGAAGCATTTTTTTTTAGATCATGTGTGATGCAAGTGATCAAGCTCTTGGTTATGTTCTAGGCCAAAGGAAGAATAAAAAGTTACATGTCATCCGTTATGCAAGTAAAACCTCAATAGAGGACCAATTAAACTACACCACAACCAAGAAGGAGTTTTTGGCGGTAGTGTATGCTTATGATAAATTTAGATCTTATCTTCTTAGTTTAAAAGTTATTATATACATTGACAATGCAGACTCTTAAGTATCTTTTTGCAAAGAAAGACTCAAAACCTAGGCTTATTTGATGGGTTCTTTTGGTTTAAGAATTTGACTTAGAGATAAAAGATAAGAAGGGAGCCGAGAACTTAATGGCGGTCATTTATCACGACTTGGAAAGAAGAGTGCACAAAAGGAGGAGGAGGTCGATGAGCAATTCTCGGATGAGTCCATTCTTTTAATCAAACATTTGCAAACACCTTGGGATATTGATTTGGCTAATTATCTTGTAAATGGTTTAGTACCATCCGACTTGACTTATCAATGAAAGAAGAGATTTTTCTTTGATGCTACTTATTATCTTTGGGAAGAGCTTTTTCTTTATAAATTTTGCATAGATGGATCGATAAAGAGATGTATTTCGAAAGACAAGATGTTAGATGTTCTTACACATTGTCATGATTCTCCTTATGTCGGTCATTATGGTGCTAATAAAATAGTCGTTAAAGTGTTAGAGTGTGGTTTCTATTGGCCAACGTTGTTTAGAGATGCAAGGGAGTTTACAATGCATTATGATCGATGTCAAAGAGTTGGAAACATTACTAAGAGGGATGAAATGCCACTTTCGAGCATTCCCGAGGTAGAAGTGTTTGATGTATGAGGGTTAGATTTCATGGGGCTATTCCCATCTTCTTTTTGGAACAAATAGATTTTGATGGGAGTTGACTATGTGTTAAAGGGGGTTGAGGCTTTAGCAAGTCCTACCAATGATGGCAAGGTAGTCACTAAATTTTTGAAGAAGATCTTTGTGAGATTTAGAGTCCCAAAGGTGATCATTAGTGATGGTGGATCACACTTTTGTAATCAAAGATTGGAAGGTCTTTTGAAGAAATATGGTGTATATCACAAGGTGGCAACTCCACACCACTCACAAACAAGCGGTTAAGAGTTGAGGTCACGAATCCGGAATTTAAGAAGGTTTTGGAGAAAATGATGAACAATTCAAGAAAGTATTAGATAAGTAAGCTAGATGATGCTTTGTGGGCTTACCGAACGGTATTCAAAACACCAATTAGTACGACTCCATATAGAATTATCTATGGGAAAGCTTGCCATATTCTAATAGAATTGGAGCACAAGGCTTTTTGGGCAATCAAGATCTTAAATTTTGATTTCAAGAAAGTTAGAGAGAGAAGAATCTTGCAACTAAATGAGCTTGAGGACTTGAGGTTCAATGCTTATAAGAATGCTCGATTATATAAGAAAAAGACAAAAAGGTGGTATGATGCTCACATTAAGAAGAAAGAGTTCAAAGTGGGTGACAAAGTTTTATTGTTTAACTTTAGGCTTAAGTTGTTCCCTGGAAAGTTGAGGTCAAGATGGAGTGGGCCATTTGAAGTGGTTCAAATTTTCACTCATAGAGCATTGGTTGTAAAAAATGAAAAGGGAGAAAGTTTCAAAGTTAACGGGCTCCAATGCAAGCCATATTTTGGAGGGTTCTTCTTTAGAAAGGGAAACACTTTCTCTAGCAAATTCAATTTGAACTCTAAAGACATGAGGGTCAAACTAAAGGCCTTAAATTTAACATTTTTGAGTTTTAAATTGTTCTTCAAATTTTTTTTAAAAAATCGTGCATGTCCGCACAATTATGTCGAGACTTTTGGCAAAAGTTTCTATTACAATGCACGACCACGATAGAAAGCTTTTGCTTTCACTTTGTCACGAGCATGCTTTTGTCACGATAAAAAAAAGCTATGTCATTTCAAATCAAAATAAAAAAATATAAAAAAAAAAAAATAAAACCCTAAAAGTTCAATCTATCACGACCACCCCGTTTCTTTACCTTTATTTTCTCCTTCTTTCTCTTTTTTTTATTCCCCCTCCCACTTTGTCTCTTCATCCCTTTCCTTTTCCTTTTTTTTCAAATCCTCTACATTCTCATCTTCTGCCTTTTTTGTTCTTTAATGTCATTGTTTTGGGTAATTTTGTTTAAAATTGTAGGAAAGCTTTACCATGCCACTAAAAACAAAACCACCCATCAAGAGGAAGCTAACGGGTCACTCGGAAAAGGGAAAGAGGTGGCTCTACTTGAACCACGGCCTAACCTTGTAGCTCGATTTGGTGGGCCATCCCCAATCTACTATAAGGAAGAAGGTAAGAAATTTCAATTTATTCATAAGCGAAATATTACTAAGCCTAGATACTTTGATTTTGAGTTGTTAGAAAGATTGGGTATTAAGGAATCCATGGTTGATTTGAGCAAAAAGGTAGGATGGGAGAATTTCATTGCTTGTGACCTTGGAACTTATAAAGAGTTAATTTGGAAATTTTACACCACCTTGTCTTATGATTCCGAAAATTTGACATCACTTCAATTTAGGTTGTTTAGTGAGTCTTATGAGGTAACTCTTGATTTTTTGAATCAAATTCTTAAGTTGCCTAAAGGACTAATCATTAAATATCATAAAAATTTTAAAGGGTCACAATTTTAGAAAAAATTAACTAGTTTGGAGACTTTCAATCCACACAATACACCAAATGGTTTCATTTGAGATGCTAGTGTCTTAATGCTTCATAAGTTTATTTGTCATACAATTTTTGGGAAGGTAGACATCAAGAAATGGTCTTGAAAAGATTTATTTTTGTTGTGGTGTATGAATAATAAAGTGAAATTCTCCGTATCTCATTCATCTTTCATGCTATTGTGGGTATTAGTGTTAAGCGTTGTAAGGTAATGAAAATAGGTTACATTGTGATCGTGTTAGCAACCCATTTTTACATTGATTTTTCCGGCTTAACCCCATTTGTCAAGGAGTTTTCTTTCGAGAAGATCACTTGAGGAGAGCGAAGATCCTTTTAGTTGGTGCTTTTAGTCTCCAAGATCCTTGTACTCGTACTTGTTTCAAGAATCAGAATGTTATCCCATAATTATCTTCAACGAGTTGAGGACTCTAGTGATGATGTGAAGAATGATGATGAAGACGAAGGGCGGAAAATTGTCCTTCAAAAGATGGAGGAGACAAATGCAATCTATGACAACGAATGATCGCCATGGAAACTCAAATAGAGAACTTGGCTAAATTTCAATGGTATCACCAAAAAAAGATGCTCAAGGTCTTTGAAGCGAGCAACATTGACTTTCCTTCACCAACCTTATCGCCTTCAAGTTCTCCACATCGCTAGAGAAGCCTTCTCACCCTTATTGTGTTGATTTTTTTGTCTCTTTGTGGTGTGTGTTTATTTTTCTTGTCCGATGTGTTTGCTATTAAGTTTATTTGTTATTGCTTTTTGTTGCATTGGTTCACATTGGGGGCAATGTGACCATTTAAGTGTGGAGAGGAGGATTTTGGATTTTTTTTTATAAGTGCTTACGTGCCTACCTTTTGGTTGTTTTTATGTGCTTCGTGTGTTTGTTTGTGCTTGTGCTTATATTGATTTTGCTACAATTTTGGTCATAGTGTGCAATTTGAATTAGAAGTGCTTGAATGGACTTTGTATTGTATCGTCATGTGAATGACATGATTGGTTTAGAACAATGAGTATGTGTTTGATACTTTGAATGTAAATTGGTATTCTGTCGTTGCATGGATAATTTAGCTTGAAAATCAATTCTTTCATCTTACCTTATACATTATGGGACTCACTAAACTTGTTATTAAATGGATTGAACTTTTGAATTTTTGAGAAACTCTTAGGATAAAATTGGTGTGAAATGAAATTTTTGAAAATGGTTAAGTCCATCTCGAGGTTGAACCTAAACAAGGACAAATGCATGGTTGGCCCCACCACTTTGTAGGTGCATTCGTGAATAACTAGGGGCATTCATCATAAATGAGTGGTCTTCACGTAAAAATGAGGATCCACCGCTTGGTTGGCTATTAATAAGTGCTAAGCACATTGGGACCCCTAATTCACTAACTCGTTTGTAGCAACCAAAAATAGTAAGGACGAAAGTGAAAATAAAATGAAAAGTGCAATAAAATGGTGCAAGTTATGTTATGCAAATTTGAAAGCCAAGTTTGTCCTATATATATATATATATATATATATATATAAGAATTGTTTTGACTTAGTAATGGGGTGAATGCGTTCTATATGTACTTAGTAAGATAAAAGACTTAATTGTCGTCGAACTTCTTTAAATGCAACACTTGAATACCGAGGTACGTGATAAGTAAGTTGTAGATACTTAGGTGTTGTTTGGTAATCGGGCATAGAGTGGTGGGAATGGGAATGGGAATGAAACTTGTATTCCCACATTATGATTGTTTGGTTAAAAGGAATGAAGTGGGAATGGAATAAAAATTTACACACAACTTCATTCTCATATAATATGTGGGAATAAAAAAAAAGAAATGGGAATGAATTTTTTTTTCAAAATAATAATATATTTTATTTATTTATTATCTATTAACTACTTTTACCACCATCATCATAACCACCACCATTACTACCACCATTATAATAAACCATAATCATCACAACCACCACCATTGCTATTACCAATACCACTACCACAACCATAACCACCACCACTATTACCATCATCACAACCACCACTACTAGAACCACCACTATCATAACCACAATCACCTTTATTATTTTTACAACCATATTGTTTAATAAAATTATTTTTTAATCATTATTTTTATTTATCTAAAAAATCAAATATTAAAAAATTTAAATTGCATTTCGATTCCTTATTAGTATTCCAAATATAGTATTGGAATACAAATACCATTTCGATTCCTTAATTTTTATTCCGATTCCTGCATTCTCATTCTCATCACTCTATTCCTAATTACCAAACATCACCTTAGGGTTTTACACTATTCATTTGTGCACATGGTTGTATGTTGCAACGTCTTGTGATTACACCTTTGATTTGATTCTTGCCTCTATCCCGTGTTTTGATCTTACTTTGCTTGGGGACAATCAAGATTTTAAGTGTGGGGAAATTGATATGAGTATTTTTAATGTGTCTTTAAGTGTGTTTTTATGATAGTAGTTATACCTAAGAGTTACTTTATGTTTTAAATGATCATTAGAATGTTTAATTTTCATTTTAAAGATTAAAGAAGTGGGTTGAGCCATTACTCTATATGTTTATGGTAATTATTGTAGGTTGAGGATGTTTTGATCACAAAAAGTGTAATGGCCGCATAATGCACAACTATGCGGCGTTGCACGATCGTAACGAAGCGAGTTATAAGCGATTTATGCACGATCGTGCAACACCACACGACCAAAATCATGACATTATGACAAGTCACTCAAGAGCCATCCTTTTGGGCAAGCGAGCGAATATAAAAGAAAACCATAAGACTAAGGGGAGAACGTACGGTTTTTTAGAGAGAAAAAGGATTGAAGAAAACAAGAAAAAAGAGAAGAAGAAAGAGAGCCCAAGAATCAAGGAAGAAGATTATAAGAATTTCATAGCAACATTCAAGAGTTCTTTCTTCCTTCATCTTTTATTCTTGTTTTATGAGTCGATTTATTTTTAGTGTGCTATTGTCAATTATGATGATGGATTGCTAAATTTTCATTAGGGATTAACTCTTGAAACATTCCTTTGATGTTAATCTTTTAAGTTTAATTTTAGCTTTGTGATGTTTATTGTTCTTCATGCTCTAATTGCAATTGAGAAATTGAATTGGATGATTTGTGTTATGTTTCAATGAGAATTGTTACATAATAGATCGGTAAATATCGAGTTAATTGATAATTATGAAGAGATCGAGATTGTTGAGTAATTGCTTGAAAGATTGCTTAAGGAATTGATTGAAGCGATTTGGGTTTGGGATTATTAGTTAAGAAACTATAATTTCGCTTATGTTTCTTCAATTCGATAGTTTAGTTGTTGCTTGAGAGAGAATAACTAACACCATTGGATATCTAGAGCCTTAGTTGTATTAAACCATTAGAAAGACCGATAGGGGATGTGGATAGTGTTAATTCCTAGCCTATTAAACCTTGATTAATTTCTTTAAGTAATTTCAATTCTTGTTTCGTTATTAAATTCTTATTTGATTTATATTTATCATATTTATCTTATTAATCGTAAACAAATCGAAACTAAGTCAATTGATGGATAAAACATAATCCTCATGGGAACGATATCTTTTTATACTACTTGAGTGATCCGTGCACTTGCGGAACCAACGAGTTGTTCGTGCTATGTTACGGTTCGAGTAGAACATGTAAAATCATTTGAAAAAATAATTTTAATTTAATAGCATATAATATATTGAAGGTTTTCTCAAATTTATTAAATTAAAAGTTAAACAAAAATATAATTTTATAATTTATTCTTCTTTATCTTTTTCATAAATTTAGTAGTTAAAAAAACACAATTTATTATTTTTTATGTATTGATTTTTAAATAATAACTTGCAATAATCTAAATAGAATATTTAATTCAAAATTTAAAAAAAAAGCCTTAGTATTTTTTTTATAAGATTGCATAAAAAATAAAATAAAATAAAAATTAATATAAAAAATTGTGTAAAAATTAATAGATGAATATTTTTTTTCATTCTTATTTAATTCGATGAGAAGATTATTTTTTTCTTTTAAAAAAAATATACATTTGACTTATATATATTTGTTCACAAAAATAATCAATAATATTAGTATAAAAAGTTGTATTTGAATCATTGGATGTTTCTCTAAATTATTATGTCAATTATTTTATTTCAAAAAAATCCATTTTAAAAAATTAAAAAAATAATAACAAATGGTTAGTATTATGTGTGTATATGCATAGTTAGTTTCTAATAAAACCAATTATCTTAACACACACACACACACACATTGACCATGCATTGTGGATTTAGAGTATGCAATATAAATAAAAAATATTTAAAAAATAAATAATTTGGAAAGAATATATTAAAGTTAATAAACTGAAATAAAAAAATTTTAATTTTGATAAATTTTAATTATATAAAGAAGAAGCAAATAAAACACGAGAATTCTATTTTTTTAATTGATTTTTAAAAAGGTTTGAAAAAAATTATATAAAATATAATTTTTTTCAACACTCTCATTTTAAAATTATAAGAATCTATCATATGAATTATATCAATATATTAAAAAAAATTAAATAATGATATTTTAAAATTTTATTCAAAAATTCATAAATAGAGAAAAATAAATTATATTTACTAACAAACAAAATTATATAAAAACATAAAATTAATTTCATGAAAATTTCCATAAGAAATGACAATTAAAAAAAAATCAATTTTAAATAATAAGAGAAATATAATCCATCATATATATATATATATATATATATATATATATATATATATATATATATCAATAAAAAAAATATTTATATTCTAAATTTTTATTCAAAAATTCATATATATATATAGAAAAATAAATCATATTTATTAACAAAAAAAATTATATAAAAAATTAAAAATTAATTTTATGGGCATTTTGATAAGAAATGAAAGATAAAAAAAAAACAATTTTAAACAATAAGAGTAATATAATCTTATATATATATATTCATTTTAAATTCTGAAAATATATCATATATATTTCATCACCGTCAGCTTGAGTAGATAACCAAAAAATTAATGATTGATTTTTTTTTTATAACTTTTGTACCTATTTCAATAATAAAAAAATTTAAAAAAATTAGTAAAAAAAAGCAAAAAAATTAAATAAAAAAGAAAAAAATAAAATAAAAAGCATTTCAATACTCATTATATATATATATATATCAAATTGAAAAATTCATTTTTTTTTTTTAAGTTTCCATCTACCTGTTTCAATTATTTTATAACTTAAAACTATTATGAACGCACTCTTTTCATTATAATAAACAATATAAATGCAAGATGAGCCACAAAAGAGACCGAAATTAGAGCCAATTGTGGCTTTCTCTCGACTCTCTCTTCATTTAAGGACCAAATTATAACATAAATAAACTTTAAGATTAAAATAATTTTTTAAAAAATATTAAGGATTAAAGTGCAATAGCTAGAAAAACTTGAATATAAATGCCTCAATACAACCTAAAAATCACGAAAATAAGTATAGTGCACATGAATTTAAGTAAATAGTAAACAAATAGTATTTTATGAGTATGTGAATAATGTAATACATAATAAAAATCTTTTAGTTTATTTTATAATGATAATTTTTTTTCTCTTCATTTTACAAAGCACTAATCTTAGTAGAATGTCTTTGTAATTGTACGATCAATATTTTCTTCCGCATATAAGTAATTTAAATTTATTGTCTTATTCACTCGATGAACAAAAGTGTCTTTGGATAAGTTTATACCTCAATTAAAATTATTTTTTTAAAACGATTTTAAGAACATATTTTACATAGATCTAGCATATTTAGAGAAATTTAATAATTTTTTTTAGTATATTGACTCAATCCTAAAATTAGTTCAAGTCCATAAGGTTTCTTAATTATTTCAATTAAAGACTTCAACACTTAATCTTTTTGATTATATCCTTATGTTTTGCAATTGCACTCATTTGGTAATGCATAACTTATCAATTAAGGGTATAAATATTTAATTCAAGCTTCTCTCGTTCCATAAACTCATTCCATTAATTTTATTTATGTTTCTTTTATCCTTAATTGAATTTCAAACTTAATGACTCCTTAAATACATGCTTCTTTTTATTAATCAACAAAACATCCACACATCACATATATATTTTTAAGAGGATTTTAGGTCACGGATATTATACATCTAGCATATTTAGAGAAATTTAATAATTTTTTTTTAGTATATTGACTCTAAAATTTAAACTAAGGAATTCAAGAAATGTATCTCAAACGAAACATACACTAACTCTGGGACTAGCCAATGGGCATGTGCTAAATCTATATTATTAAGACGACTCTAATTCATAATGACTTTGGAACTCCTAAAACAAAAGCAACTGCCGGTTTCGGTCTCTTTGGCTTGAAAAAGAAAAGAAGAGGTTTTTCAATCGTGAAACATCACTGCACTCGGAATAATGTACTGGATGATAAATATTCTTGCTCAGTACTTTACATTACCCGCAACTCTAAGTCAGGGGAATCTTGCATTTACACCTCATAAGTTCATAAACTATAGATCATCACTGAGAGCATTTTGTCTTTTAGAGAAAGACACTTTATGAGTTGTACAAATGGAGGTATATGCCATATCCATAAAGACATTTCACGGGAAATTAATCTGTCATTCCAGTATAAGAATCAGCAGGGGAATCTGTTGTCCTGAACAATTAATTTTGACATGATTATAATTATCGAAATCTTAAATTTTGTTTACCCGAATGATACATTGTAATGAAAACTTAGATAACATAAGATCTTAAATTGGATTTGAATATTTATGTAGCCTTTTTATCTCAAGCATTTAAGACCACTTCTTTTTTTTTTGGAACGCTAGCAATTTGCGTAAGAGGAGATACCTTGGACGATCACTTATGTTTTGTGAAATATTATTTATTTTCTAATTCATATATCATGGACAAGTAAAATCATCTTATAAAGCCATATATATATATATATATATATATATATATATATATTGATTGTTCAGATAATTTTTGTCTTGAATTATCAGGATATTTACTATTAGTTTCCACGTGTATACAATTTTTCTGAAAAATTTTGAACCCTGGATTTTTTACCCATTGTGTCTTACATAGACAGACTATCCATACATGAACAGTTACATTTATTTTTTAAAAATATTTTAAACATTTTTTTAAATAAAAAAGAAAAAAATAATTTAGCTCAGAATTAATTCAATCATTGTTGTCTAAAACTTTTCAATTGTATCAATGGAGTGCATTACTTTCCCACTTAAATGTCTGAACTTCTTAAATTGGTCCAATTTATATTAAATCGCTTATGTGGCATTAAAATAAGCACATGTCCAAACACCTTTTGTAATGACTCTCCCATTATCACAAAATTTTAGACCAAAAAAAATTATAGTCACCACAGGTCATAAATTAATTAATAATACCTTGATTGGAGGATTTTAAAAATTGAGATACTCAAATGAAAATAATTATGTACAAAAATTCGATCATATCGGAGCGTAGATAACCCGATAGATTTTTCCTTTTTTTGTAAAAAAAATAAAATAAAATATTTATTGAAAAAATAATAAAATTGCAGGTGAATAAGAGAGCCTCGGACCCCCAAAATATCGAAGGAGAGAGGGGTGAACCCTCGAAAGAGAGAGAGAGAGGAGAAAAATAAGAAGTAAAAAATATAGAAGAATTTTTCGGGTTTGGTGATCCTGTTCAGCTGCCTTTTGCAGCTTCCTCCCTTTAACAAACGCATCAATTTTTAATAGCTACCGTTGCCAATCAATAATCCCTAATTCTTCTTTCTTTTGTTTCCCCAAACCCAAACCCAAACCCAAACCCAAACCCAAAAAAAAAAAAAAAAAGAAAAAAAAAAGATTCGATTCGATGCGATTCGCCTTCTCACGGCGGCTCTGGCGGTGGTTGACGACAAGAAGCGACGTCTTTTCAAATGAAGAAGAAGAAACAACATCATCGATTTCGTTTTGCTATTAATGAATGGGCGGGTTTCAGCTGCAAAAATTGCAAATGAGTTGGCAACCGAGTTTGCTGAGTCAAAAACGCAAAAACGGTCCGCCTTTAGGGTTAAAGAATCTCGGCAACTCTTGTTATCTCAACAGCGTCCTTCAGTGCCTCACTTACACTCCTCCTCTCGCTAATTTCTGCCTACGTCTCCAACACTCCTCTTTCTGTAAGCAATTTTCACTTTCAATTTGTGTATTTTTTTTTCGATTTTTGGCTAATTTCTTAAAGATTTTTTAAAGGTGATTCCGTTGTTAACGGAGACAGAAAGAGAGACTGTCCGTTTTGTATTCTTGAAAAACGGATAGTCCGTTCACTCAGTTTGGATCTCAAGCTTGATGCGCCCGCGAAGATTCAAAGCTGTTTGAAGATTTTTGCTGAGCATTTTCGCTGCGGAAGACAGGAAGATGCACACGAGTTTTTGCGGTATGTTATTGATGCGTGCCATAATACGTGTTTGCGTTTAAAGAAACTGAGAAGGAAAGGGATTGAGAACGGTGGTGGCGGCGTGAGTGTGGTTAAGGAGATATTTGGAGGCGCATTGCAAAGTCAAGTGAAGTGCTTGTGTTGTAATTATGAGTCGAATAAAGTTGACGAGATTATGGATATTAGTTTAGATGTTTTGAATAGTAATTCGGTAAGAGATGCTATGCAAAAGTTTTTTCAGCCTGAGGTTTTGGATGGGAATAACAAGTACAAATGTGAAAAGTAAGTTGTTTGAATTAGTGTGTATTTATTTGTTGTTTTTGTGTTTGATATGTGTGAATGAAAAACTTATGCTCTTTTAGTTGTAAGAAACTAGTGGCAGCTAGGAAGCAAATGTCAATACTTCAAGCGCCCAATGTTCTTGTTATCCAATTGAAGGTGGGCTTTAACTTTTCTTGATTGTGTTCTTTATGTTGTTATTGAGGTGTGGGTGTTTAAAGTTGGTTGTGATGCTGCTTTTGAGTAATGAGATTTATTGTTGGATTTTGCTGTTAGCAGAGATTCGAGGGCATATTCAGTGGGAAGATTGATAAGGCCATTGCATTTGAAGATTTTTTGGTTCTTTCAAGCTTCATGAGCAAAACAAGCCAGGTATGGATAATTTGATGATTTCAATCAGTCGGTTCTGTATATTTGCGGGGTTGGACTTAGGATCTTCTACAGCCAGTATTTATTTTGTTATAAATACACTTATTGATATTTGATATTTGCATAATATGCATGCAGGTATAATATCTCTTCGACAACAAACATGCACCTAGTTTGAAATTAAAATCAAGTAAACTAGAAGACTTGTGATTTCTTGATGAAGAGTTAAAATGTAGAATATATAATATCGATATTTTCTTATATCTCCTTGAATTTACAAGATTCGAAACTTATTAAAAGGGTTTAGACTTCAGAATCAGCAGTTAGCTGGTAGAGTTGGATTTGTCCAAAAAGAAGGCGGTTACAGTGGTTGCAAGTTTTAGATTTCCTTCCATCTGTAGAATTGAATTCTTTTAGATATCTTTAAGCTAAACTCTCCTCAAAACAGTGCACTTCAGATTAAATGTGTATATAATGAGAACAAAAACATAAGCCCCTAGCGATTGGAGAGCACTGCTTTTTTATGGATAAGATTAACCGCTTTTTTTTATGGATAAGATTAACGAGCACCATTTTCAAAAGCTCATTGAAGTGTGCTTCCATGTGTGTGGTTATTTTCTATCTCTCTTCTTGAATCCTGAAGCAAGCGAATACCAACCTGCAGCTCCATTTGGACTATTCCCATCACGTGTGCTATTATACTGCCATAAGAACGTTATTTTCAGCCTTCCTTTTTATTTGTAAAAACAACCTGGAAAAGAAATGATTCCTGTTGTGCTGTGCATTATTCTACATTTGCAACCTCCTAGTCCTAACACCGTAATGATACCGTACGTCATCAACTCCCTCTAGCACTGCGTTGTAATTTAGTCTGCATGACATAGGATCATAGCAAGGCATAGATATACGAATGTGACAGTATTCTTGCCCAACTTTCCACTTTCCCCTCTCTAAACTGCTTGAAACTGATGTCTGAGACTGCTAAAACCATCTCGGAATGTCTAAGCTCAAATGATTGAGCAATCTGCCAGTCTTTCAATATTACCAATTGCAGAGACTGCTAAAACCATCTCGGAGTGTATAGCCCAAATGATTGAGCAACCTGCCAGTCTTTCAATGACACCAAATGCAGAAACAACAGAGAATAAAGTCCATTCCAATGAGGGGATTTTCTGGTACACTAGTTTGCAAACGGTATTGTATGCCATAGCATCACCTCCCATGCCTTTTCACTCCACTCCCATCACCATTTAGTTCTCTTTACGGCCTCATTCTGTTGGGAATTGAAAAAGAATGAGTGAATTATAGCCTTTTGATGCTTTGAGACATATTTTTCAATTTAAGCAGAAGGATCATATTTATTAATGGTTTGAGTCTGTTGATGTAATTAATACATCAGAATCTTATGCTGCTTAAAGACAATTGCTTTTCAGATTAAAGCGAATGTGGTGTTACTACTGAAAACAAAGTTGATAGATATTACATCTGACCAAAAAGGAAATTCATTGTCTTTGCATGTGTGCGTTCTCATTTATGATGAATTAATTGGCGTTCAAGTATTTTATCTATGATCCCTTTTTTAGTTTACAAGTATCGGTTACTAGTGAAAATTTGAAAATAGTGAGAGATTTCTGTTTAATGCCCTCCTCCCCCTCACAACAAATAAGAAAGGAGCAAATAGACCTGTAGAAAGGAAAAAAAAAAAAACCTACCTGATTATGTAATCCGTAGTTTGCAAAGATTTTGCTTTGTTTTCTTCTGTTTTTTCCTGCGTAATTCATTAGTATTAATATTTTTCCTTTTTTTTCGACTGTCAAAACCTTGATATCTTCGTTCTTTACTTCATCATTTGCATCAATAAGAGCATTCTCTCTTCCTCAGGCTTATTATTCTCCATTGTGATTGCATAGAAAAATGATATTGCAGTACATTTATGTAGGGTCTCAAATATAGATAAGCATTGAAACTTTGTGTGGCGAGTCAAAGTACATAATGATATATTTGTTAAAAGTAATTTCTTTGGTACGATGAGAAACTTTAATGTTTGGCTGAGCGTGAGGTTCATCTGTACTATAGCTGTAGTGGGCCTCTGTATCCTGTTATGGCATGTTCTATATGCATTTAATTCTTTTTTCCTTTTTCAATCCATCATAGGATCCACAACCTGAGTACAATCTTTTTGGTACCATTGTGCACTCTGGATACTCTCCCGAATCTGGACACTATTATGCATATATCAAGGTCCGTATTCACTGGCTTTTTTTTTTTTTTTAATACGACATTATTAATTTTGGTTTATGCTATTTATAAAGGCTGCTATTTCAGTTGTTTATTGATATTATTTCCATGTGTGTGTGTGTGTGGGTGCAGGATGCAATAGGTCAGTGGTTTTGCTGCAATGATTCATATGTGACACTCTCAACCCTGCAGGAGGTCTTGTCAGAGAAGGTTTATATTCTTTTCTTTTCTCGCACTAACCAAAGGCCAGCATCTGCTGGCTCCACTTTTGCCTCCAACGGAGTAAAATCGTGCGAATTAAATGGCATTGAGGTAACTAAAAGTTCAAAGGCTGCTGTTCCTTTGAAAGCATTGCCTACAAAACCACAAGTTGAGCAATCTTCAAGGAAGGATATTTCAGCCATGTCCAAGATTGATAGAGTGCCTTCAAGCCCATTGGTAAAGTTTAGTTTTGTTGGGAACTCTGGTTCCAAAAGTGTTCCTCCATCTGTTAATGGAAAGGTTGATCCTCATAAGGGTCAAAAGAAGGAAATGAATGGGAGTGTGAAAGAGATGGTTCGTGTGGAGAAATGCGACAGAGATGTGTCAACAGTAACAAGCAGTAATGGCTTTGAAAAGCATAAAAAAGTTGGTGCTGTTGAAGGTGAGCCCTTGCATGCATTTGCAGCAGCAAGTGAAAATGGTCATTCTCAAAATGGTGCTGTTAATTCTGTAAAGCCACATCTCTGTGACAGTAATGGTACAAGAAGCATGTTGACCACAGGAAGAGGACATGATCACCTGGAATTGCAAAATGGTGGTACGAAGTATCACACTGACATTTTAGGTTTGAAGAGAAAGCTAAAGGAGGAGGACTGCGTTTTGCTTGCACGGGATGCTCAATCTCTAGACAAAGTTGAAGAATTCAAAGAAGTGTATGTTACATTTTACTTGATCTGTTTTGAAGTCATATTTTTTTTAACTGATTACATTTTTGTTTTGCTCAATTTGTGTTTATCAAATTTTGCGTTTTGTGATTATTCTGTAATTTTAAACTCCTAACTTAGATCTTGATTGCTACTAAGCTTTGTGTTGGACTTTTAGATCTTCATACTAAAGCCTATTATTTTGTTGCATTTCTTTTGAAATCATTTCATTGGTGAAACTAGATGTTGCTATATTTACATATTTGGATGGATGTTCATACTAACTGTTTTGTTAATCGTGTTTGCTTTTCCTACTAATTTTTTTGTTTGTTTGTGTGCTGCTTTATGTTATCCCAGCCTCAAGCAACAAGCATCTTCCATGTTGGGATTGTGCGGTTTGTCAGATAAGGTATATGATTTTATGCGAGCGAGAAAGAGGTTGTGTGTTCGAGAAGCAGGAAACAAACCAACAGACCTAAAGTAAGTCTTGTTTAATTTGATCTCCATGCAGTTTGATATATGTTCAGAGCTCTGATCCTAGTAATTTCTCTTCATAGTTGATGTCACTTGTAATGGCAACCTGTGTAATTAGAAACATTGTTTATCAGCTTTTTTCTTTGATCTGGATTAGCAAGAAAGCCACTTAGAATCAGTTAATTATTTCTTCCTGTCAGTGCTTGACCTTTGTTTTTTCTTTGTACTATTATTCTTTGGTGGGAGGAGAAGGGGGAAAGGTTCTTAATAAACTTGCACCGTTCTTGTTATGTTTCTCTGGTGGTTGCATGCTTTGTTCAATTAAAAAGAGCTATCTAAATAAGATTTGAGGTTATGGCTTTTAAACTGTTTTTCTCTTTGTTCTTCTGAAATGCAGGAAGTTGTTGATTGCAGATGCAAAACGAACCTTTATTTCACAAATACCCGAGTCATTGAAACAGGACCTAGTCAAACGCCTGCAGTCGTTTAGTCAAGAGAAATGACATTGCTCTGGAGTTTTGGTGAACTCAAACTGGTAATTGAGGGTTTATTTATTTATTTATTTATTTGATATCTTAGTTTGGGTGGTTGCATGACCATTACTTTTCTGGTATGATATTTTTGCAGTCTCTTGATTTTGTCTCTGGAGGCGCTTGGTGTATAATCTGTATCACTAATTGATGTATTGACAGTGATATCTTTTCTTGAGATAATAACTGGGATCTGCTGTGACATGCATCTTTGGGCAAGTGCTGGCAGTGACAAGAGGTCATTATCTTGTCTTTTTAATTCTTTATTGCGGCAATATGTTATACTGGTAGGTGCACCATTGTTGGTGCTGAGAAGAGAAGGCTGAGTTAAAAATCTTGCCAAAATTTTTCTTCCTTAAAGCTGTAAAGTTGGTTTTGGCAGAGAGCAGAAATCCTATAGATTTTGTACTATACCTTTTTTTTGGCAATATCTTAGCATAAAATCCTCATTTTATGGATGCATTGCAATTTTCCGTAAAAATGTGGCTGGGTAGTCCTTGAATGCATACTATTATTGAGTTTGCCCTACAAGCATGACATGGTTCTATCCCTTGCATTGCCCTAACCTTTCACCTTTCTTTGAAGTTGTGACGTTTAATTGGCACAACCACTTTCCTTTTTCTGCACAGTTTTCCTCCCTCTTTTTTCTTTTGTTGATTGCAATCTGTTGTGGGACTCTCTGTCTGATATGAGGGCCTGGATCTGTTATTTGTTGGTTTGCTGCATGCGTAAATCTTTTTCAAATTAACTTTTTCCTTGGAAGCTGAATGTATCGGGAGGCAGGAGGAGTATCATATCCTTGGCTTTTTTCCTGTTATCAAGTAGAGCTTCATGGCATATATGATCGTCGTGGAAAATGCCGACATTGCTGGCAGGGGGGTATGCTTCTGGGCTTATTATCTCTTTGAAGAGTGAGATTATCATACATCTAATTCCTTTCATTTGTTGCAGATAGAACTAAATAGCAATCTGAGTTGATGGACTACCGTAATCGAGCAACGATTTATTACGACTATTTTCTCAGTTTCTTGCTTTCTACATTTATGCAAGGATTGGGTTTACGAAAATCCGACTACAAATGCCTCCAGCAAATTAATTATGTAATTAGTTGGACAGAGATAAAAGCCTCAATGGTTAAAAAAGAGAAGAAACATTGAAGCTTTACTAGTCGATATTCTGCCATAATGAGGTGAAAGTTACCTCTATGTCCATGTGAAAACTTAGAAAAAGACGTAAAATTGTTTTCATCCAAGATCCGGACGATTTTCGTTGATCTGCTATTTTTCACTCTCGTCGTGCTACGTTAAAGATTTCGTGGATTTGAAAAATAAGCGCATTGAATTTTCTCATAAGAAAAATCTGGCAGCTGGACCTCTGAAATTGGTGGTCAAGCAAGGACTGGGTTTGCAAAAATAAACTACACATGCCTCCAGTGAAGGCTTGTCTGCCATCCTCCATGTGTTTAATCCAAAGCAAGTCGTCTGTGGTTTTGGACAAAAAAATAAAAATAAAAAAAATCTGAAGTTGGATCTAGGCATAGATGGTCATGCAGGTATACAAGTTTAAAAAATACGTGGAATTTTATGGTATTTAAGAAGTAAGCACCAATATTTACAACTATTTTAAAAAATCTGAGGAATTTTATGGTATTCAAAAAGTAAGCACTAAAGAAAAAATAAATCAAATAGAAAATTAAAAAATAAAATTTGAATTTAAGTTGAAATATTTTTATAGTCTATATGTGATTTTTTTTTTTAATATATGAGCAAAGTATTAGAGTTTTTTTTTTTTTTTTTTTCACTAAGGTATTTTCAAATCTTTCAAAATAATATCCATGTCATGTAAAAAAATAATTAAGAAACCAGTAAAACTTCTCTCTTTACAATATAATTCAATAAGCTGAATCTTGGAAAGAGAACATTTTTGGTGCTATAAAATTTAAATCTCAAATCAAAATCATAAAGACTCCAAAGGCTATATAAATTTTAGTAAAATAATTTTTTTTTTCTATTCGGATCTTTCTACCTTTTCAGTTATAGGTTCTCTATTTTTATAAAAAAGAAAAAGAAAAACGTTCTTCATACATTCAATTGTATTTTGCATCAAAACAGAAGGAAGACAAGAAACAGATAAAAGATGATGAAAAACAGAATTCTAAGAGTTAAAAAAATCTATTAACTCCAAATTTGATAAGAACCCTATTATGGAGGGGGAGAGAGAGAGAGAGAGAGGAATAGAGAAAGAGAAGGAGAAAGGAGCAATCAAATTGGGATGAAAAACAATTAATGACGGTTTATCTTATTTTATCTTGTTAGGTAGAAAGATGATTGATTTCTTAGTGCGAGTTGGGGGAAAAAAGAAAAGAAAAGAAAAATTTAATAACGATGTTTATCTTGTTAATTAGTTAGAAAAATGGATTGATTTTTTTGAGAGAAATTGACGGCACATAAACAAAAAGTATTGTACAATTGTTTGGATTAGAGTTTTTTTTTCATAATTTTTAATATATTTTTAGAGATTATATATATATATATATATATAAAATTAACATAAAATGACATAGATAATTGAGCTTACATGGCAAAAAAAAAAAAAAAAGGCCTAAATTTAGTAAAAAAGATTTAAAGTTCCTCGTTTTTGTAAATAAGATTTGGGAGTACCTTAATTTAATAATAAAAAAAAACTCTATTTTAAAGTACCTTAATTTAGTTAAAAAAAAAAAAACCCTCCAAGTACGTATTAATAATGACTCCCTGAATATTTTAAAACTTCTCCAAAAATCTATGAAAACAAGCTTCCGTCCAAGACTTGTCCACAGCTTTACTCTATCTACTTCCCCTTTTTGTGCAATTGGTCAAACTGTAACGAAGAATTGTTAAGCCTTATGCAAGCAATGACGAACCTCCCAAAAACCTAGACATGAATGGAAAAGTATTTAAAAAAAAAAAAACATCCTTTAGGAGTTAGTTATAAGTACGTGAAACGAAAAACTGACAACAACTAAGCAGTGTGACAATTAATAATGGCAGAGCAATTGGTGTTATTGGGTTTTTGGGCTAGTCCTTTTGCAATGAGGGTGAAAATTGCTTTGGCAGAGAAGGAAGTAGGTTATGAGTCACGAGAACAGATTTTGTTCAACAAGAGTTCTTTGCTTCTAGAGATGAACCCTGTTTACAAGAAAGTCCCGGTTTTGATCCATGAAGGAAAGCCAATCTGTGAGTCACTCATCATAATTCAGTATATTGATGAAGTTTGTAATAACAAACCTCTATGAACCTCTGATCCTTACGAGAGGGCTCATGCTAGGTTCTGGGCTGTTTATGTGGATAAACAGGTGAGCCATATTTTATTTCCCTCAATTCTCTTCTTTATTTTGCTGTCCAGGGGCTCTAGAAGTACTTCTAAACTCACGTACACTTTTGACTGGATATTTTGTTTTTCTGATTTTGTCACTCTGTCCTTTTCCTTAAAAATTAGACCAAGTTTTGGCTGTATGTAAAGTTACAACAATACGGGATGTATTCACTAGCCAAATCTTAAGCCATTTTCCGAATAGGTTATTTTGTACGGAGCTTGATTTTGGAACTTTGCTTGTTCAGAACCGCAGAGAAATTTCATTCTATTTTATTTCTTGTTCATTGGAAAGCCTACTAATCCTACGCATTAGGTTATATATATTGCAGAATAATCTTCTTCTTTCCTTTAAATTCTCATCTACCGATTTCAATTGCTGAACCTTTTGAGACTTTCAAATTTCAGACCTTGATTCTGGAGCAACTATTTCCTTTGAAGCTCTAGACTTCACCTTCATGACTTCCTTAAGCATGAATGTTGCATTGCAGTTTTTCCCAAACGCACAGATGTTGTGGGCAAGAAAAGGTGAACGCCAAGAAGCAGCCAAGAAGGGTCTCATAGAAAACTTCAAAGTATTGGAAGGAGAGCTTGGAGAAAAGACCTACTTTGGGGGTGAGAGTTTTGGCCTTATAGACATTGCACTCATTCCCTTCTTCAGCTTTTTCTACGCGTTTGAGATCCTTGGAAAATTTTCCATGGAAGGGGAGTGCCCCAACATTGTGGGATGGGCTAAGAGATGCTTGCAAAGGGAAACTGTTTCAAAGTCAATAGTACACGACCAGCACAAAGCTTATGAATTTGTTTTGGAGCTCATGGCCCGGCATGGGGTTAAGTAAGAGAACTAACCCAAACAATGAATCATAGAACAGAGGTAGCAGCAGTTCTAATGAATAAAGCCTTTTGCATTTGGGTTAGGTTTTTGTCCCACCCTATATATGTATTGATTTTGATTTCTCTGTTCGACTGTTAAATAGGGTGGTTCGTCTGTTTGATGAGCTTTTACTACTCTTCCTTGTTCAAGGAGTTCCTAAGACGATGTTTGTTATATATGAGAAGCGTTTACATTTTGTTTTGTTTTGTTTTTTTGATAGGTTCCCATTTTAATTTTATATAGTACTACAAGGAGGGAAGAATATATTATATAGTTCCATGCTAAAAACTAGACCTTATTCCACATTATAATTTGGGATGGAAACACTTCTCTCCAGCTCATGCGAAATTCATAAATATAATTAGATTGTGTATGATATAATAGAAATTATATCTTAATTATAAAGAAAATTAAAAGAACTGAGGTATTTGAATAGTGCTACCGTTCATCTGTTAATGCCAGCCTAGCCTTTTTATGCTATTGTTAAACCCAACTACCCAATGGCACCTCAGACTTATATATATATTATTTTTAAATTAGGTATGAAAAATATAAAATAATAATAATAAATTTTTTTTTATTAATTTTACGTACAGTTCGAAGATGATAGAAAATATATATATATATATATATATATATATATATATATATATATATATATATATATATATATATATATATTACTTTTATTGTTTAAAACTTATTTCTTCAATTATTTGTTTCTTATTAAAATTCTCATCAAATTAATTTTTTGATATAATTTTATTTGTTAATAAATTTGATTTTTTAATATATGAATTTTGGAATAAAATTTTAGAATGTCGGTGTTTTATTTTTTAAAATATATTATTATAATTTAATAATATGATATTTTTTAAGATTTTAGTTTGAACATATATATCTAATTATATTACTCTTATTATTTAAAACTTATTTCTTCAATTATTTCTTTCTTAATAAAATTCTCATCAAATTAATTTTTTGATCTAATTTTATTTGTTAATAAATTTGGTTTTTTAATATATAAATTTTGGAATAAAATTATAGAATGTCGTTGTTTTATTTTTTAAAAATATATTATTGTAATTTATAAATTCTAATTATATATATATACTAGATAGTTTGACTCAATTTTTTTTAAAATTAATAATCGGTTAAGAAATTCACAAGTTTTATTTGTTTTTTTATATATATTTATTCAAAATTTATCGAACCAAATTTGTTATAATTTTTATTTTAATTTATTGACTTCAATATATTTCATACAATTTAGGTAGATTTTTTTGTATATTTTTCTATTATTTTATATACTCGAATCTATTAAGTATGATATATATATTAACTATGTATCTATACATATAATACCAATTATTTGTTATTTATTTTTTCATATTCTAATTTTTTTTAAAATAAAATAAATTAGATAATGTTTTGAAAGAACCTCCAAAGTATTCAAATACAAATTTTTATGCTAATAGTATTAAGTATTTTGTTAATAAATATACATAAATCAAACGATTTCACTCAATATAGATTTGATTTACATTAATCACTAGAAATAAAATATTTATTCGCACCGCATCATACGAATCGTTAACCCAACGTATGTAACAATTGTTAGACCGTAGCGTAATATGGATATCTATCTAGTCTTAACTAAATCAAGAAAATTCCTTTATTGCTAGACCATATTCTTCTTCGATACTTAATTTTTTTTATTGCATTTATAAGTCTAATTTCTAAGCACAAAGCCTTCATTTTAAAGTGGGGGAGAACATGACGGTCCATATTTCCTACATTTGAGCATTGTAAGCTATGATATAATCGTATCATTTTTATAATGACTTATATGCTACATATGATGAGACTGGCCTTTGGGTCTAGTAGTTAATGGGATATCAGATATAATAATTCGTCTTCAAGCAAGCTTTTGAACTTCAAACCGGGGAGTAAAAAGTACAATTTCAACTTTTTTTTTCCCCGGTTTATGAGAACTATATATTGGGAAGTTGTCATCTTCCATCCTTAAGATCTCATCTCACTTTTTTCGGTTAAGGTTTGAACTTGAGATCAGATGGAAGCTCAATTGTCATTTAAGGTTATTTTATTTTATGATTGATAAAATAGTTGGGCATGAATCCGTTTACACCCACTAACATTTTCTCAACTGAGCGGTTGGGCCATATGGTATTGGGAAAAAAACACAACGATGACAAATGAGATGCATTTATTGCTTTATCAAACCGTTTGGGAAAGGATTGTTCACAAAGGCCCCCCATTTTAGATGTTCCCCTGTATTTTGATCATTTTTAACAATGAAAAACGGTGGCCAAGTGCCGCAACAAACATTACTATTTTCTTATTTAGAAGTATTCTTTACGAAGTATTATTCTTATACAATTTTGTTTCTAAATAGTCTATGTTAGTCTTTAACATTGTTGAACCATTAAATTTATAAAAAATATTACTTTCATTATAATTTTTGGCCAGTCACATAAATTTTAATACAATTTTTTTTTCTCCAGCTCTAAATTTTACAATTTATATTTATTTATAGTTTTACTATCATTTTTTTAGGTTTTCTCTATATAGTTTTACTATCATTTTTTAGGTTTTCTCTATATATAAAATAATCTTTTTTTCTTTACTCTTATCTTAACTAGGTATGACCGAATTTTTCCACGAGATTGTTCCTTGTGTGGCTGGTTTTAACTAGTATAAATAGGGTCTCATGTTTGTAGATAAACAACACTTGATTATTGATAAACTCTCGAAAAAATTCTATAAATACTTTAAATCCTTGTACATTGCTTAGGATTTTATTCTAAACTTGATCATTTTTGGTGGTGCTATCGATCAACCAAACTAATCAAGGATGTAGTGAGGTTCCTAACCGTGCTAAAATCATTTAGGATTACACCAATTAGCAAGATTATAGTGAAGTTTTCAGGAAATTTCCCAAAATCAATCAAAAGTTAGAGTTTCCATCTATTTTAATTAAGTTTCAGCCTACACTAAACAAGGCTAAAATTTTTGTTTCATATATTTAATTGAAGAGAGAGATCACAAATTTCTTGATTTATAAAGGAGTTTAATTTGGCAGCCATAAAATTTAAGTTATGAGCATTGGGCTTGTTTCATTTTTTTCACAAAAAGTATGTCAACTTGATATCAAAACTAATATTGCTTCCTTGTGTGTTCTTTGACTAATTTTGTAGAGATACTGCCAAAAGATAGCGATTACGTTGCATTACTATGGCTGAATTACAAAAAGAGAATGCCCATTTACTTGGGAGGTTGCAAGAGTATGAAAGAAGGGATAGAGAAACGGATGACCAAGAGGCATAAAATCAAGAAGAAGACATTGAAAGTGCAAATTCTTTTGAAGCTTTACAAACCAAATCATCTATGGAGGATGGATATTCTTTCCAACGGATAGGATATGTCATTAGAAGACCACAACCTCAACACCATAACATTGAAGTTAAATTTGACATACTTGAATTTCAAGAAAGATTTAATTCGATGATTTTATCAATTAAATCCATACTACCGAGAGGGCTTTTGATTTAAAAAAAGTTATTGACAATAAAAAAGATAAGCTTATTGCAATCAAGCTAACAAATAATACTTTCATATGGTGAGAGAATTTGAAGAGACAACGACTTTGAGAAGGCAAGCTGAAAATCACTATTTGGAAGAAGATGAAAAAGTTCTCAATCATAAGTATTTTTTTTTATTACTATAAACAAGATACTTATCTTATATTTCATGATTTTAAGCAACGGACTTTAAGTGTTGAAGCATATGTCTGCTAAATTTAAGTAACATATGTTAAAGTGTGAAATTTGTGAACCAAAAAAAATATTGTTGAAAGATTTTTAGGAGGATTAATACCCGATATTACGAAGGTAGTTCAATTGCAACAATACCATACTTTATATAATGTCATTAAACTATTCCTAAAAGTTGAAAGCATCAAAAGACATCTAAGTGAAGCATTGGTAGGCTCTTTGCTACGGAGACGCATTCTAGCTCTAATACTTCAACTAGGATTGGAAGACCGAACTAAGGAGGGCCACGACAAGATGAAGAAGATGGAGCCACATGGAGCTTCAACAAAAACACTTCGAGTTCTAACTCTAATTCTTGGAAGTGCTTTAAATGCCATAGATTTGACCACATTTCTTTTGATTTTCGAAACCAAATAGTGATTAGTTTGGTAAAAAAAATTATTACAAAATCTCATTAGGCCAACATTGGTTTCTAAAAATTTCTAGCTTGTTAACCTAATATCTTATGCAAATAAATTTCTCATACAAAATCACATACGTAAATAATGCAAGGGAACAATATCCAAATTATTACAAATATAATGACAAAAATGAAAATGTAATTTTTCAATAAAAATAAAAGGGTGATTTCAATTATGCAACACTTTGCACTTGCAAGTAAAACCTATATATGCAAATGGGAAGGTTAATTATGTTTCTTCATGATAACTAATAAAAATAAATTATTCTTTCCGTATAAATGTAAAATAGACATTTGATTGAGAAAAGACTAAACTAGGTCATCAAAAGACAACTAAGTTAAGGAAGGGGTATGAGCTATATCAACTCTAAAGGACACACAAACACTATATATATATTGGGAGCTAGGATGATACTCTAAAAATGTATAGATAATAGTGGAAAATAAACTAGAAGGGACAAACTAGCCTAGCATAACAAACCGGGAGGACAAGAAAGCCTAAACTCCCGAAATTTTATAGGAAAGATTCTTGAAACTAACAATAGATAAACCTGTACATAGCATGCCTAGAACACTAAAATAAAAATAACAAAGCACTGCAAGATGCTTTAGTAGCTGCAAGGTCATTCTATATAAATCGACTAAACTCGCAAAAGCTATCCTTTCAAACTCCTTATATATATATATATATATATATATATATAGGAATAG